TGCATGTGTGCATGTGTGCATGTGTGCATGTGTGCATGTGTGCATGTGTGCACCTGTGCATGTGTGCATGTGTGCATGTGTGCACCTGTGCATGTGTGCACCTGTGCACCTGTGCATGTGTGCATGTGTGCATGTGTGCATGTGTGCATGTGTGCATGTGTGCATGTGTGCATGTGTGCATGTGTGCATGTGTGCACCTGTGCATGTGTGCATGTGTGCACCTGTGCATGTGTGCATGTGTGCATGTGTGCACCTGTGCATGTGTGCATGTGTGCATGTGTGCACCTGTGCATGTGTGCACCTGTGCACCTGTGCATGTGTGCATGTGTGCATGTGTGCATGTGTGCATGTGTGCATGTGTGCATGTGTGCATGTGTGCATGTGTGCATGTGTGCACCTGTGCATGTGTGCATGTGTGCATGTGTGCATGTGTGCATGTGTGCACCTGTGCATGTGTGCATGTGTGCATGTGTGCACCTGTGCATGTGTGCATGTGTGCATGTGTGCATGTGTGCATGTGTGCATGTGTGCACCTGTGCATGTGTGCATGTGTGCATGTGTGCACCTGTGCATGTGTGCACCTGTGCACCTGTGCATGTATGCATGTGTGCATGTGTGCATGTGTGCATGTGTGCATGTGTGCATGTGTGCATGTGTGCATGTGTGCATGTGTGCACCTGTGCATGTGTGCATGTGTGCACCTGTGCATGTGTGCATGTGTGCATGTGTGCACCTGTGCATGTGTGCATGTGTGCATGTGTGCACCTGTGCATGTGTGCACCTGTGCACCTGTGCATGTGTGCATGTGTGCATGTGTGCATGTGTGCATGTGTGCATGTGTGCATGTGTGCATGTGCGCATCTGTGCATGTGTGCATGTGTGCATGTGTGCATGTGTGCACCTGTGCATGTGTGCATGTGTGCATGTGTGCATGTGTGCATGTGTGCATGTGTGCACCTGTGCATGTGTGCATGTGTGCATGTGTGCACCTGTGCATGTGTGCATGTGTGCATGTGTGCATGTGTGCATGTGTGCATGTGTGCATGTGTGTATGTGTGTATGTGTGCATGTGTGCATGTGTGCATGTGTCAGAGTATTCGTGTGTTGGGGGGGGGCTATCACACACACCATCAAGAGTGAAGTAGAGCGAGTCAGCTTCAGAGTCAGTGAGCTGTATGGGCGCAAAAGTTTTCGTGCACGCGTGAGTACACGACTGTGTGTGTGTGTGTGTGTGTGTGTGTGTGTGTGTGTGTGTGTGTGTGTGTGTGTGTGTGTGTGTGTGTGTGTGTGTGTGTGTGTGTGTGTGTGTGTGTGTGTGTGTGTGTGTGTGTGTGTGTGTGTGTGTGTGTGTGTGTGTGTGTGTGTGTGTGTGTGTGTGTGTGTGTGTGTGTGTGTGTGTGTGTGTGTGTGTGTGTGTGTGTGTGTGTGTGTGTGTGTGTGTGTGTGTGTGTGTGTGTGTGTGTGTGTGTGTGTGTGTGTGTGTGTGTGTGTGTGTGTGTGTGTGTGTGTGTGTGTGTGTGTGTGTGTGTGTGTGTGTGTGTGTGTGTGTGTGTGTGTGTGTGTGTGTGTGTGTGTGTGTGTGTGTGTGTGTGTGTGTGTGTGTGTGTGTGTGTGTGTGTGTGTGTGTGTGTGTGTGTGTGTGTGTGTGTGCGGGCATGCGTGCGCGTGTGTGCATACGTGTGAATCGAGTCAAGACAGCAAGCAGAGTGAAGTAGAGCGAGTCAGCCTCCGAGTCTGTGAGCTTCCTCAATGGGCTCCGACGCTGCTTTCCCTGCCAGAAAGCAGTGAGAGAGTGAGTGATTGAGTGAGTGAGTGAGTGAGTGAGTGGGTGAGTGAGGGAGGGAGGGAGAGAGTGAGTGACGGATGAGGGAGTGAGCGAGGGAGTGAATGAGTGAGTGAGTGAAGTAGAGCGAATCAGCCTCCGAGTCTGTGAGCTTCCTCAGTGGGCTCCGACGCTGCTTTGCCTTCCAGAAAGCAGTGAGAGAGTGAGTGAGTGAGCGAGTGTGAGTGAGTGAGTGAGTGAGTGAGTGAGTGAGGGAGGGAGCGAGTGAGTGAGTGAGTGAGCGAGTGGGTGAGGGAGGGAGCGAGGGAGTGAGTGAGGGAGTCAACCTCAAAATCAGTGAGCTCCCTCAGTGGGATCCGCCGCCGCTTCACCTGCCATGGAAGAGGGAAGTGTCGCAGGACTTAGTGAGAGAGTGAGTGAGTGAGTGAGTGAGTGAGTGAGTGAGTGAGTCAATGAGCTCATGAGAGTGTTTTAGGATTCTCGAAAACAGAAACACAAACAAAACCAGCCAGCAGGGGCAGGGACCCAAGTGAGTGAGAATCCCCCTTCTTCAGACCACACTACCTCTGCGTATCTCAGCACACTTGTGTGTAAAGCTTCTTAAGGGCGTGTGACTTTTAGTTCGGGTTTGCCAAGAGAAGTCGAACTTTAGGTGGTAACATCTTCCGTTAAATTCGCGATGGTCACGGGCGAAACGAAGAACTTACATGCTGCACGACAGGCAACGCCAGCAGTTCGACTGCCGACAGTCGAACTTGCCGGGCAATTTTCGCGTGTGTTTACACTAGCAGCGGCGGATTCGAGCCCTGGCTCGAACCACTCGAAAGAAGCAGCTCGAACCAAGTTCGAATGAATGGTTCGCGCCGGGGATCGAATCTTGGAAAATGCACTTAAAAGTCACGCGCCCTAAGCCTCCCACCTTCTCTTAACTCCCAAATGTTCAAAACAATACTCCCACCCACCCACGCACCTCTTTCCTCTGCTGCTATATTGGTGTGGCTTTTGAGAATTCTCAAAAGGCCTCCCAGCTTCTCTTGACTCCCACTTTTTCAGGACAACACTCCCACCCACGAACGCACCTTGATCTTTCCTCTCCTGCCTCTGCCTCTACTGACGTCACTCTCCCTGTCTCCACCCCTCCCTCCTCCCTCTCCTCCTCCACCCTTCTCACCTCCTCCCCTCCCACCTCCTCCTCCCTCCCCACATCCCCGTTCTCCTCCACTCAAACGCCTCTCAGCTTCATCCCTTGCCATCTCACGGTCATCCCCCGCTGCACCAGTGGCAGCATTGGGATCTGCCATGGAGAGAGACAGGGCGATGGCCTGGGGTAGAGAGAGGTGGAGAGGGATGGAGAGAGGTGGAGAGGGATAGACAGAGTCAGATAGAGGTAGGCAGAGAGAGGCAGATAGAGATAGGCAGTGATAGGCAGAAACAGGTAGAGTCAGAGCGAGGTAGAGAAAGCAGAGCGAGGGAAAGGGAGGCAGAGAGGGGTAGAAAGACGCAGAGAGAGGCAGGAGCAGCGGCAGCGGCAGCAGCAGTATGGGCAGCGGTATGGGCAGGGGCAGGGGCAGATGCAGGGGCAGATGCCGAGGCAGAGGCAGACAGAGAAAGATAGCTGTGTGAGTGCGTGAGGTCTGGTGGCACGGCGGCGCTGCACACAAGTCTGAGAAGGCAAGTATGGTTGCCTCAAACAGCTCATAGCATGCCCATTTTTGAACCGTTTGAACTGTTTGAACACGGGCTTCTTGGCATGTGATGAACTGTTGAAAAGTTTGAGATGGTTGCTCCAAAAGTCTGAGAAGGCAACCATTCCAAGAAGAACCCACTCACCATCTGTAGCTCCTCGTCATCATCACCACCGGCACCAACCGCTCCCGATTCCTCCTCCATCCCCCTCCAACGCTTGCTCCCCCGCTTCTGCTGCAGCTTTTCTACACCGCGTTTCCCCGACTGCCGTCCTCTCCTCCTCCCACTGCCTCCGCCACCACCACCACTACCACCACCATCACTACCCTCCCCACCCTCCATCTCCTCATCTTCCCCCTCCCCCTCCCCCTCTTCCCTCTCATCCTCCTCCTCATCATCCTCTGCAATCTCATCTGGGATATACTCGCCGTCTTTCCCCAAATCCTCCTCCTCCTCCTCTTCCTCCTCCTCCTCCTCCTCTTCCTCCACCTCATCTCCCCCCTTGCCCATGCCATCGCCACCGCCACCACGGCCTCCTCCTCCTGCTGTCCTTGTCTGAACACGGAACGACTGCCGAGTGCCTGAATGAGAGAGCATGATGAGCAGATGAGCAGATGAGCAGATGAGCAGATGAGCAGATGAGCAGATGAGCAGATGAGCAGATGAGCAGATGAGCAGATGAGCAGATGAGCAGATGAGCAGATGAGCAGATGAGCAGATGAGCAGATGAGCAGATGAGCAGATGAGCAGATGAGCAGATGAGCAGATGAGCAGATGAGCAGATGAGCAGATGAGCAGATGAGCAGATGAGCAGATGAGCAGATGAGCAGATGAGCAGATGAGCAGATGAGCAGATGAGCAGATGAGCAGATGAGCAGATGAGCAGATGAGCAGATGAGCAGATGAGCAGATGAGCAGATGAGCAGATGAGCAGATGAGCAGATGAGCAGATGAGCAGATGAGCAGATGAGCAGATGAGCAGATGAGCAGATGAGCAGATGAGCAGATGAGCAGATGAGCAGATGAGCAGATGAGCAGATGAGCAGATGAGCAGATGAGCAGATGAGCAGATGAGCAGATGAGCAGATGAGCAGATGAGCAGATGAGCAGATGAGCAGATGAGCAGATGAGCAGATGAGCAGATGAGCAGATGAGCAGATGAGCAGATGAGCAGATGAGCAGATGAGCAGATGAGCAGATGAGCAGATGAGCAGATGAGCAGATGAGCAGATGAGCAGATGAGCAGATGAGCAGGCACGGAGGTCAAACTTAAGTACGAATCCCTCCTCTTCCCCCTGACCTTTTCACCACCTTGCCCCCTTGCCCCTGCCACCACCACCACTAACACCCCTTGTCTGAACACGGAACGGCCGCTGAATCCCTGAAAGGGAGAAAATCAACGCAGAATACACACAGAAGCAAGGCGAGGAGCTGGCCGAGCCACACAATCACCCTACAAGCACAGCTGACTTCGACAATCACACAAGTACCCTACGGGTACTTCCACCTTCAAAGGGCGTGAGTGGTCGCTCTAAGCTTGTTGAGTTCCGCGACACCTCAGAACAATCATAATGTCACGCAGATATGATTGTTGCGGCTGCGACAACCTTGAGAGGGCACGAGTCGTTGTTGCGGCTGCGACAACCTTGAGAGGGCACGAGTCGTTGTTGCGGCTGCGACAACCTTGAGAGGGCACGAGTCGTTGTTGCGGCTGCGACAACCTTGAGAGGGCACGAGTCGTTGTTGCGGCTGCGACAACCTTGAGAGGGCGCGAGTCGTTGTTGCGGCTGCGACAACCTTGAGAGGGCGCGAGTCGTTGTTGCGGCTGCAACAACCTTGAGAGGGCGCGAGTCGTTGTTGCGGCTGCGACAACCTTGAGAGGGCACGAGTCGTTGTTGCGGCTGCGACAACCTTGAGAGGGCACGAGTCGTTGTTGCGGCTGCGACAACCTTGAGAGGGCACGAGTCGTTGTTGCGGCTGCGACAACCTTGAGAGGGCACGAGTCGTTGTTGCGGCTGCGACAACCTTGAGAGGGCACGAGTCGTTGTTGCGGCTGCGACAACCTTGAGAGGGCACGAGTCGTTGTTGCGGCTGCGACAACCTTGAGAGGGCACGAGTCGTTGTTGCGGCTGCGACAACCTTGAGAGGGCACGAGTCGTTGTTGCGGCTGCGACAACCTTGAGAGGGCACGAGTCGTTGTTGCGGCTGCGACAACCTTGAGAGGGCGCGAGTCGTTGTTGCGGCTGCGACAACCTTGAGAGGGCGCGAGTCGTTGTTGCGGCTGCGACAACCTTGAGAGGGCGCGAGTCGTTGTTGCGGCTGCGACAACCTTGAGAGGGCGCGAGTCGTTGTTGCGGCTGCGACAACCTTGAGAGGGCGCGAGTCGTTGTTGCGGCTGCGACAACCTTGAGAGGGCGCGAGTCGTTGTTGCGGCTGCGACAACCTTGAGAGGGCGCGAGTCGTTGTTGCGGCTGCGACAACCTTGAGAGGGCGCGAGTCGTTGTTGCGGCTGCGACAACCTTGAGAGGGCACGAGTCGTTGTTGCGGCTGCGACAACCTTGAGAGGGCACGAGTCGTTGTTGCGGCTGCGACAACCTTGAGAGGGCACGAGTCGTTGTTGCGGCTGCGACAACCTTGAGAGGGCACGAGTCGTTGTTGCGGCTGCGACAACCTTGAGAGGGCACGAGTCGTTGTTGCGGCTGCGACAACCTTGAGAGGGCGCGAGTCGTTGTTGCGGCTGCGACAACCTTGAGAGGGCACGAGTCGTTGTTGCGGCTGCGACAACCTTGAGAGGGCACGAGTCGTTGTTGCGGCTGCGACAACCTTGAGAGGGCGCGAGTCGTTGTTGCTGCTGTGCGGACGACGACTTGAGCCGCCTCGCTGCAGCGCTCACGTCGAGCGCCGCGAGCAGCGCCGCGTTCCGCGCCATGCGATCCGCTCGTAGCTGCTCGTACGCCGTCATGCCTCCCGCACCGCCTCGCCCAGCCGCATTCCCGTCAGAGTCCCAGTCAGCATCCTCGTCAGCATCCCCGTCAGCGTCCCCGTCCTCGCCCCCGTCCGCGTCGCTATTGGTGACTTCCTTGTAAGCTCCCCCGGGTTTTGCGGATTCGGAGTTTTTACCTTCCAATTCTAAAGGCGACTCGTCTCCATCCGGTGAACTAGTCTTTTCTGCGTTATGCGCTTGTCCTTTCTTGATTATCTCTGTTTCTCGACTTACACGCGTCGCACCCTCCTCCGCCTCCGCTTTCGCTCTCGACCTCCTCGTTGCTCGCGGTGGTGGCTTCATAATTCTCTCAGACGCAGAACCGTTAGGAATGTAAGATCACATTAACAAACAACGGCAGATAGTAGCTGTAGTGGTAGCAGTATGCTAATGCGACACGCTTAGTCGAACCCTAAACCAACCCTACTTCGGTGGATCTAGTCCCATAACGCGCACGAGTCACGGCTGATTGGCGACGGCTAGCCGACAGTCTCGCAAGAGGCAGGGGAAGCGTGACGGTGACGCGACAAGGGGATAATTGAAGCGGCCAAGCAAGAATATAGGTTTGGGATTAGGAAGTGAGGGAGTGTTTTCATTATCATCATGAGCTGAGCTTTAGCTTTTGTTACCGCTTTCGACTCCAACAAAACACGAGAAACCGTGGGCAAGGCTCTTCATATTGTGTTGAATTCCGCATTCGTGTCAAAATGGGCCCTACGAGCACATTTCCTTGCACCTTCAAAACGATCCGTCAGCTTTCTGACACCTCTAGTTGGCGCGAAAAGCGTCCGCGAATGAGCCTCAGGCGCGCAACTTATGAATCAAGCACAAAACTCAGCATTCAAGGGAACAGCTTGAACGGCGGAAAGCACAAGCGGGAGTTGGCCTGCGCCACTGATCCGCCAGCCCCCCGCACTCGCGCTACGGAATGCGCGCATGCATACGGCAAAGCTTCCGCCGATGCTAATATCAACGCAAAACTTAGGTAGAAACGGGTCTAGTCGTCTCTAGCTCCAGGCCTCCTGGTTTCCGGCCTTTTAAGTTGACTCGTTATAGTCAAAGCCGCCTTCTTGTGACACGGTGGCGATATGGCTCGAAGGGCCACGGCCAAAAGGCAACGTGATGCTGCCACGTCACCCTATTCACTGTCAGCGTCGCTCGTCCTGTCCACGTCCGCGCTCGCGCTGAGCGTATTGACAGGCGCGTGGCTGCTGCCACGTCAGCTCTGGGGAGTGGATCTGACGAGTGAGCCGCTGACGTGTATCAAGTCCACATGTGTACGTCCACGCGTCTGTTCTATATTCCACCTTGATGATTTCAAATTTCATTGGCTTATGCTGCTTGTGAATCAAGAATGGGGACTCGTTCCCTCTATTCCTTTCCCATCATCTCTCTCCAAAGGCTTGTCTCTCCTCCCCTCCCCACCTCACCCCCTCCCCCAACTCCCCCACTTCCCCCACCTCCCCCACCTCCCCCTCCCCACCTTCCTCCCTCCCTCCTTTCCCCCCATCCGTTTTTCACCTCTCCTCTCTCCTTTCCTCTCTCTGTCTCCCATCCATCCCTCGCAACAGGCTCTATTCCTTCTAGCAGCGCTGCTCCTCTTCTCCCTCCCTCCCTTCCTCCCCTTCCCATCCGTCCAGCGTTCGCCATCGCCTACCCGAGGCATGCAGGTGATAATTTGCGCGTTTTCCGCCATGTCAGCTTCTTGCCATGTCAGCATGTCGCCTTGCCAGCATGCCATGTCAGCATGTCACAATGTCAGCAGGCTAGATATGGGAGCTCTTCTCGTGCATCTTTCTTTTCTTCCAAACGTCCTGGCTCTGAGTGTACGTGACTGTCTCATGATGTGGCATGATGCGTCATGTCATCGTCTGATGTGGCATCATGTGGTATGACGTGGCTGCTTGTGCCTCCTCCTCCCATGCAGCCTAAAGGTCAACTGGAACAGCTCATTGCTCACATCACCACTGCAATTGTGCTTACATGCATCGGTAAATGACTCTCCTAACGCCTCCTTATCCCCATCACTTTTCCCTTCCTCACAACGATACACATGCATGCACCTCCTCACGTCACCACTGCCATCTTTGACATCCATTGGTAGATAAGACTCTTCTATCTTTCTTTTCCGACTTATATTCCCCATCCCCCTCCTCTTCCTCGCATTGGTACACGCATGTGCACAAGTCACATCCATCCCTCCCTACCTCTTCCATCCCCCCCACCCCCAACGCTCCCCTCGTCCTCCCCCCTCCTTCCCCCTCCCTCCCCCTTCCACCACCTCTTTTCTCTCTTTCTGTCTTACCACCAGGTGCTTTCGCTGCAGCACTCGCAGCCACTGCCTTCGGTGCTCCCATCACCCTCCAGTGAGTCACTGAGCTTTGAGGCGTCTTGGAAGTTATTTCTGTAGTTTATTGACAACCATATGGTGAACGTGTTGAGCCCTTTTCCAGCTGGGAGCGGCCGTCAAGCATGTCATGACACTGACACGAAATGATGGTTGGAATGTTGGGATTCCTTTTTTTTTGTCTTTTGTATTTATTTAATGCATGTCATGCGAGTCAATCATGCCATGTGTCATTTGTGTCAGCATGCCGAACCCCACTGCAACCCAGCATACCCCAGTTCACCACATTACATCCCTCTGTACCCTGTCATTCTCTCTACCTTTCCCACTTCCCAGGTCCATCCCAGTCACCATCCACTGGTCCTCCCTTCTCTCTCTGCTCGCTGTAAGTGCAGCTGCAATCGGACACGTCACATTGCTCTCCTGCCATGTCACATTGCTCTCCTGCCATGTCACATTGCTCTCCTGCCATGTCACGTGTGCAATCCTGTACTCTTCCATTACTCTTTGGACACGTGTGCAATCCGTTACTCTCAACCCCAACCTTCCTCACAGCCCATCCCCCCAATCCCCTCGTCTCCCCCATCATTCCCCCCCTTCAGGTGCTGCCCTCCGCGCTCTTCTTTGGCTCCACTCACACCTCTGACCAAGTGTGCACTCTGTTGCTCTCGAACCTTAAACAATCATCATCCTTCACCCGTCCCCCCTCATCCACACTCCACATTGCCATCGCCCCCCCGGGCCCCCTTCAGGTGCTGCCCTCCGTGCTCCTCTTTGGCTCCTCTCACGCCTCTGACCAAGTGTGCACTCTGTTGCTCTCGAACCTTAAACAATCATCATCCTTCACCCGTCCCCCCTCATCCACACTCCACATTGCCATCGCCCCCCCGGGCCCCCTTCAGGTGCTGCCCTCCGCGCTCCTCTTTGGCTCCTCTCACGCCTCTGACCAAGTGTGCACTCTGTTGCTCTCGAACCTTAAACAATCATCATCCTTCACCCGTCCCCCCTCATCCACACTCCACATTGCCATCGCCCCCCCGGGCCCCCTTCAGGTGCTGCCCTCCGCGCTCCTCTTTGGCTCCTCTCACGCCTCTGACCAAGTGTGCACTCTGTTGCTCTCGAACCTTAAACAATCATCATCCTTCACCCGTCCCCCCTCATCCACACTCCACATTGCCATCGCCCCCCCGGGCCCCCTTCAGGTGCTGCCCTCCGCGCTCCTCTTTGGCTCCCACACACACCTCTGGCGATCCGTGCTTCTGCAATTCAGGTGACACCTCTGGTTCCAACCCAAACCGAGGTCACAGCCACGGCTCCAAACCAAACCGAGGTCACAGCCACGGTTCCAACCCAAACCGAGGTCACAGCTACGGTTCCAACCCAAACCGAGGTCACAGCCACGGTTCCAAACCAAACCGAGGTGAAAGCCAGTACCCCAAAACAAACCATGGTGGCAGGCTGGCAGCCACAGCTGCAAGCCGTCGCACTCTTCTGCCGTTGAATCATTGTGGGGCACCTTAACCTAAAGCAGAATTCTTCTGGGATCACGCTGCTATTGCCTCAACGTATTCTGTTCCACATGCCACTGATTGCCCACCGGTAGTTCGCCCCCTCTGCTTCTCCCGTTTCTACCTCTGTTTCCTCCATATGTTTATTCCTCTCAATTTTTCATGTCTCCCCAAGTGCGCAGCATTCCTTCCCTCCTTTTCCCCTTCCATCCCCAACTCTTAATCCAATCTCCCCTCCCCTCCTCCCTGTCCCCTCCTCCCCCTCCCCTGCTCCCCACCCCATCCCTCCCATTCAGCCCAGCATCACTGCCTGAAGCGTGTGTGGTGACGTCAGCTTTTCTCCCTTCTCCTCTCATCCCCCTCCTATCCTTCACACTTTCCAACCAATTACTCCCTTCCTCCACGCTCCCCATCCTCCCATTCAGCCCGGCATCACTGCCAGAGGCGTGTGTGGTGACGTCAGCACATGGGGCCGTGGTGGGGGCATGGATAGGGGCATGGCCCATGCCTCTGGACTGGGAACAGCCGTGGCAGGTGTGTTAAGGGGGGGATCTAGCTGGGTCAGTTTTGTGAATCCTAAAGAATGCGCATGGGTGCATGCTGGGGGCATGGATAGGGGCATGGCCCATGCCTCTGGACTGGGAAAAGCCATGGCAGGTGGGTTAGACAGGGGGAGCATGGCTGCATGCTGGATACATGGGTGCATGATGGATACATGGGTGCATGATGGGTACATGGGTGCATGATGGGTACATGGGTGCATGATGGGTACATGGGTGCATGCTGGGTACATGGGTGCATGATGGGTGTATGATGCGTGTATGATGGGTGATGGATAGGGGCATGGCCCAAGCCTCTGGACTAAGAAAAGCCATGGCAGGTGGGTTAAAAGGGGCCAGGGGCATGTGCGAGGGTGTATGTCTGGATGTTTTGTGCATACATGCGTGGGTAGGGGCATGGCCCATGCCTCTGGACTGGGAAAGGCCATGGCAGGTGGGCAAGGGGCAGGTGCATGGGAACACGGTCGCATGGGTACATGGTCACATGGGTACATACATGGTGGGTGCGTGGGTAGGAGCACGGGTGGGGGCATGGATGGGTGCATGGCCCATGCCCCTGGACTGGGAAAGGCCGTGGCAGGTGGGTTAAGAGGGGTGCACTTAGGTGGGTCGGGGTACAGAGGTAGTGTATGGGAGGTATGAGTAGGGGCATGACCCATGCCTTTGGACTGAGAAAGGCCGTGGCAGGTGGGTTATAGGTGCATGTTGTGTGCATGAGTGCATAGGGCCGTGGTGGGTGCATGGGTAGGGGCATGGCCCATGCCTCTGGACTGGGAAAAGCCATGGTAGGTGGGTTGAGGGGGAAGGGGCATGTGCATGGGTGCACAGTCGCATGGGTATATACATGATGGCGGGGGGGTTGGGGGCTTGGGTGGGGGCATGGGTGGTGCATGGCCCATGCCTCTGGACTGGAAAAAGCATTGGGCAGGTGGGTTGTGGGTGCATGATGTGTGCATGAGTGCAGATGGGGCCGTGATGGGGGCATGAATAAGGGCATGGCCGACGCCTGTGGACTGGGAAAAGTTGTGGCAGGTGGGTTAAAGCCGTGGCCCAACTTTCAACTTCAACTTCAAGGTATTATAGCTTGAAAGAGGTTGACCCAGGCAGTTCAGAGCCGAGAAGTTTGTCCTCTTCTGGTTTTCGACCAATAGAATTCAAGTTACACACATGCCACTTTTGTCCGCCTACTGTTCCTAAGAAGTTGCACCCCGCCTTTAAGGGGGGAAATGTATTATATGGGTCAGGGTACAGGGGTAGGGGCATGGGTAGGGGCATGGGTAGGGGCATGGGTAGGGGCATGGGTAGGGGCATGGGTACGGGCATGGGTAGGGGCATGGGTAGGGGCATGGGTAGGGGCATGGGTAGGGGCATGGGTAGGGGCATGGGTAGGTTCATGGGTAGGGGCATGGGTAGGGGCATGGGTAGGGGCATGGGTAGGGGCATGGTAACGGGCATGGGTAGGGGCATGGGTAGGGGCATGGGTAGGGGCATGGGTAGGGGCATGGGTAGGGGCATGGGTAGGTTCATGGGTAGGGGCATGGGTACGGGCATGGGTACGGGCATGGGTAGGGGCATGGGTACGGGCATGGGTACGGGCATGGGTACGGCCTAAGTTGGAAAAAACGCGTATTGCGTTTTGTACGCTTTCGTATAAACACTAGCGTTTAAACGCCAAACGCTGGCCATGAGGGGTCTGGTACGCACATAAATACGCTTGTCCGGGCAGGAAAAAAGTTTTTTCCGGGCAGGTTAGATGCTACGTCAAGAGATGGAGACGGTAGCTGCTGTTGTACGTCATCGCCGCAAGCGAAATAGGGGGTGGAAAAAATCGAACGCGGAGATTATCGAAGGGAAAAACGACCTAACATTGAGTGGGGAGGATGAGTCTGGTTGGAGTTGGCAACACATTGGAAAGCATTGGTAATATGATGGGGTTGGAGTGGGTTGTTGAGCGGTGGATAGGAGGGGATTATCCACCAAACAATCTCGAAATTTAGATCTGAGGTTGCATTTGCTATGCGCGAACTCAGATCTGAATTTCGAGGCTCAAATTTGAGTTCGCCAGATCGCGAACTCAACTAATAATTTTTTTTCCGGTCAGCCCAAGCAAAATTTGGCGAATTTTAGAAAAATACGCAGCGTACGAATTCTAGAAGCGTATAAACTCAATACGCAACTTCAAACAAGCGTTTTTTCCAACTTAGGGTACGGCATGGGTAGGTGCATGGCCCGTGGCAGGTGGGTTAGTGGGAAGAGAGGCAGTTGTATGGGTGCATGGGTGTATGATGGTGCATGGGGCATGGGTAGGGCCATGGCCCATGCCTCTGGACTGGGAAAGGCCATGACAAGTGTGTTGGTGGGGGGAGGGGCAGGTGTATGGGTGCATGGGTGCATGATGGGTGCATGGGTGCATGGATGCATGGGTGCATGGATGCATGGGTGCATGGGTGCATGGATGCCTGGGTGCGTGGGTGCATGGGTGCATGGATGCATGGGTGCATGGATGCATGGGTGCATGGATGCATGGGTGCATGGATGCATGGGTGCATGGATGCATGGGTGCATGGATGCATGGGTGCATGGATGCGTGGGTGCATGGGTGCGGGAATGCAGGGGCTTCTGTGCTTACGCATCAGTCTGCTTCTGAGCTTCCTGATCTGCCTGGGCTGTCACTCGCATCTTATCCACTGTTCCCTCTCTCCATGCCTACCCATCGAGGCCTGGCCTATCAGCAGCACATATGGCATGCTCATGGGCTTCTTGATTGGTCTGTTTGTGCCCTACTTGATCTGCCTGGGCTGCCAATCACATCACATCTAATCTAACGTCCCCCTCCTCTCCTTGCCCATCCATCCAGGCGTGGCCTATCTGCAGCACATATGGCATGCTCATGGGCTTCTTGATTGGTCTGTTTCTGCCCCTCATTGCCTCATGCCTGCTTCCGCCAACTGCTGTGCTTCATTTGCTACACCGCAAACAGCATATTGCTTAGCAGTTTAGCGCACTGTTTTATTCCACCTTATTCACATTGCTCAAAGTTCTTTTCTAACTGGCACCAAGGATTCACAGTACTACGCATTCATGATTGATTCTATACATGAACAACCAGCAACACACACCCCCTAGGAAGCTACAAAATTGTAAGATCGAAATGGGGAGGCCATCGATCAATAACCGTCCCCACTGGCACAACCGCCCAACAGTAGCAGCCAGCCAACCAAAAGGTAGAGCCACCCAACAGTAGATCCACCCAAGAGGCAGCCACAAGGCATGGGAAGTCATGGGTGCATGGGTACATAGGCATAGGAGGAAGCCCATGGAGGAGGGTATTCACAAACCGACTGTTTCAAAAGAAAGCTGGCACGATCTGTGACAGAGCAGCGGAGTACATAACAGCGAGAGCTGCACCAGCGGGGATGGTGATCGCCCACGACGCAGCAATCTCCGCCAGAACCTCCCCGCGCACTCCCCCGCTTCCCCCTTGCGCCAGACCCACCCCCATAACCGCTCCCACCAGTGTGTGCGTCGCCGAGACCGGTAACCCTAGTCGCGATGCCAGCACCACTACCGAAGCTGCTGCGAACTCGGCTGCGAATCCGCGAGTGGGGGTGATTTCGGTGATTTTCCCGCCAATAGTCGAAATCACCTGGTAACCACACACGAGAAGCCCTGCGACGATGCCGAAACCACCCCACATGAGGATGTGCGAGGTAGGCGCGGCAGCGGCCGCGGCAACAGCAGCATCCGCAGCATCGGGGGAGGTAGCGGCAACGGCGGAAGCGGAGAGAATGTTGAGCGCAGCGGCGATGGGGCCGATTGCGTTGGCGACGTCGTTCGAGCCATGAGCGAACGACATGAAGCACGCGGATAGAACCTGGAGATACCCAAAAATAGAGTACACTGTTCGTTGTTGCTCCCCCTTGGGTTCCTTCCTGCCTGCTCCTCCCCCTCCTGCTCCTGCTGCTGCCCTTGACGTTCGTCTTCCGTCAAGCAAGCTAAACGACTTCCTTAGCTCCTTTAATTGGCTGCCGACCTGTTTTTCCATAAAGAGAGATGCTACACCCGCGGCCACTGTACCCGCTGCAAGGGACTCCAACGCTGCTGGCGCAAACGCGGCGTCTCCAGTGTATAACGAGGATAACGAAAACGCGAACACGCCCAAACCCACGAGGTACGGCGCGGCGCTGGAAGCGGCGTGCGCGGGCGACTCTGATTCGTAAACGAATTTCTGAATTGCGGTGTAGATACTGTACGCTACAGTAGCTCCCAGCACAGGCGAGAGCACCCAGGAGGATGCCACGTGGGACAGCGAGTCCCAGCAAACCGCGTCCGCGCCGCCGTAGATGAAACCGAACCCCACCATCGCGCCAACGATGCAGTGCGTTGTCGACACGGGCCAACCGAAATGCGTCGCGATCTGGAATCACGCGATGCGAGGGGGGCACGTGTGGAAACCGAGAATTAGGGTAATTCAGACTGGCGGGAGACATGTGTGAGGGAGAAGGTAGGTTGGTGTGCGTTTTGGAATAAAGGTGTCTTAATTAATTTTTTTATTTGTGGGGAGTTCGTGATATTTTTGTTATTATTACTCGATTTCTATCATAGTTTTAAAATCTTCCGTGGTACGGAGGAAAGGTGTGGTGGGGGTGGGGGGGAGGGGGGGAGGCGGGATGGGGACGGGGAGAGAGGATTGCGCAAGACGTGGACCGTACCTGTAGCCACGTGCCGGCGGCGGCGAGCGAAGAAACCATCCCCGTGAACAGCAGCGGCTGGTCGTTCACGAAAAGCCCCGGGTCAATGATCCCCGTCTGCATCGTGTCGCTCACGTGCCCCCCCACGAGCATCGCGCCGCCGAATTCCAGCACGCCGGCCACGAGCACCGCGGTCCGCATCGACAGCGCGCCCGACCCGACGGACGTGCCCATCGCGTTTGACACGTCATTCGCGCCGATGTTCCACGCCATGTAGAGCCCGATCATCGCCGTGATGTACGCTAGCATGTTCGTCTGCAGCGGCGCGTCGGGGGAGAGAAACCCGAGCGCGAACGGCGCGGAGACGGCGCAAGCGCCAATCGCCGCGACCATCGCGGCGGCTGTCAGGGGGGAAATCTCCAAAGCTTCCGCCATGCTCTTTGCGTCGAGTGCCGCGGAACGCGGAGCTCCGCTCGCCTCGCGGACGGAGTCGCCAAGCCCGACGGACAGCCCATTCGGTACCGGCACGGCGACAGCGATTGCGGAGGGCTCTCCGCGCAAAACAGCGTCGCTTCCGCTGCTCGCGCGCGCCTTGGCGGAGCGCTGCCTTTGCGCCTTCGTCGGTTGCGCGCGAGGCGGAGGCGCGGCTACGCGGGGAGGGACCTTTACGGGAGACCACGCAGAGAACTCCCCGCCGCTGCTGCTCTTCCCGTCTCCGAGGCGTAGAACACCGCCCCACTTCTGCGCGCTCTCGTCGATGCGCGACACGCGGTTGTGCGACTGGTGCACCGCGGAAGGAGCCGCCCGTTGGCGCCGACGGGAGCGGGAGCACGGCGATTGGCCGAGCGGAGCGAACGGCAAGGCGAAGCGGCTGAGTGAGTGGGCGGGCGGGGTGGAGTGTAGCGAGCTCGGCGGCAGCTGAAAGCCCGCTTGTGGTGCGACTTGTTGAGAAGCCATGTTCGTTATGCACCGAACCGTACACGTAGAAGTCATGTTGGTTAGAAGTGAATTCTTCGTGATACTGCTAATCCACGCGAAGGAGGACGGTACTGAATTATTAGACACTTATGAGAAACGCCTCGTTGGCTCTGAAATAAAGGATTAAAGTGGCGGGAAGTGTAGGAGACCTGCTTGGATAAGCTTGTGGCTTTCGAATCTGCCAGCAAGCGCGGAAGTTGGGGGAAAGGGCACGAATGGACGAGGATGGGGATTGGAACAAACGCTAGCAAAAATGGAAACTGGTGGCGCGAAATCTGTGCCAAGAATGTAGCAGGTGGTGTGGCAGGGAGTGTGGCAGAACAACCGTGGGAAATAGAGGGCTGGTTGGGAAGATGAAGTGAGCAAGCACACGAGTTGTTGAAGCAGCGGGAGATGGAACGAATGGCAGCGGGGGGAGGAAGGAAGGAGAAGCGGAATCATTCGTCCGTTCGGACCGCGTTGGAGGGAATCTCTGATGGAGCACCGCTCCCTCTCCGTCCACCAGCGGAATCTTCTCCATTTCATTGGATTTCGCAAATGCGCCGCGGTTACGTCCAGCGCAGCTTGCTGACGAAGGAAGGGTGGCGCAAGTTTGGTGGAGGAGGCGACAGGGGGGAAACGAGAGCTGTGATTGACTGGTACACGTCGAAAAGGAATCTCCAGGAGACCGGGAAGGAATATTTTTGCACTTAGTACTGTAGCTCCTCCCAACCTTGCAGAGCAGACATTCTTTCAACTGATTGTGTTGCCTGCCAACTCTGAAACCTATTCGGGCAAAGATCATATCGGGGCCGAAAAATAGCAGGGAGGTGTCCGAATTAGGGCCGGATTATTCTCAACCGTTCGATACATCTCCGAAGCTACCCATGTGGCTGGGCCGATCACCCGAAGCGAGTTTATGAGGAAATTATTTGAAGATCAACATTATAGATTCAATGTTTTTCTCTCTTCTTACTCCTCTGGGAGTACGTTTCATCGTGTACATATTTTGGACACACATTACTCCACCTGACCCAAAAAAAATAAACCCACTCGGAAACGGATGCGACTCTGGGAGGCATCAACCCTAAACACCGGGCGGTTCCCGTCTTTATTGTTGATCCCTACCAAAAATGCGTCCAGGTTCGCTAAGGGTATTAATATTGCTGTCCTGCCCTAACAGTTCCCGGTCGCGTCGTCTAGTGCTTGGTGGCGCTAAGATCGTAAAGTTTCCTCTCAATCAGTCACGACGCGACAGAACCTCTCACAAGTGAAAAAGATACGAGATCATGGAAACCGAGTAATAACTCTATTTTCCAGGTTCGGTTACCCGGCCCTAATTTGGACACCCCGTTGCTATCTTTCGGCCCCAGTTTGATCTTTGCCCAACATATTCCGCGGAGTGGAAAATTCCTTGAGTGTGCCATGTCCACGTAGCGGTATTTCCGTTGAGCCTTCTGGTAAAAGTTTACCTACCGAATTTGTTCTTTAGATGCCCGAAAACAAGTATATTATGATAGAAAGCTTTGACCAATAGCAAGGCACGTCGTCATCCAAATTGAGATTTGACACGTAGGTAGGCAAGAACCGGCGTGGAGTTTCCGCGATATACAGACTTCGTTTAATGAACATCAAAGCTCATCTCGTGTACATGAATGATATGCCCTTGGCAATGTCTTCTTCTATTAGCCTAACAGCACGTTCGATATCTTTCTGTTCTCCGAGACTCGCTTCCTCGACTGGGAACACCTTTTCCACGCCGTTGGGACCAAGTTGAACCTGCATTGAGCCAACGCACCAAATACACGTTGAGCACGACTACCATAAAAGCGACTCTCGATATGGAACGATCCACACATGAGAAAGAGCTGGAACTTTGAGAGGATCTAGATGCCAGGAGTGTGGAGGGAAGGGTGCAGGTGGTGAGGGAGGAAGGGGGGAGGAATCGAGAGGGGTGGAAGAGGGAATGGGGGGGAGGAAGGGGGGGTGGGGGAGAAGAGGTAGAATCCATTTGCGATCTGCACCATTTGCAGTGGCACAATCACCATACCTTTGACGCAAAAAATGGCGCATCTGTTACACTTGAAGCCACGTATGCATACTCTGTAACAGCTTCACCATTCAGGGCCTTGAGCAACGAATTCGTGAAGCTGGCAGCTGCAAACCTGTACGGCCACAACAAATGGGAACAGCAGGATGGAACAAAAAAGCCACAATTGTTGTTGCAGTTTTGTTGTTGTTGTTTTTCTTTTTGGGGGGAGAGGGGGGGAAGGGGGGATTCCTCAAAACCACCAACAACAACAGCTGGAAACCTGCGCAGCAGCAACAAATCGGAGCAGCGGGATGAAATCGTGAGGCTACAGAAGAAGTCACAAGAGTCAATGGGAGAAAATAGCATGCAGAGAGGCGCAATGGACAGCAGGATACGTGCAGAGAGGTGGATACGTCAGCGGCTGCACAAGGCAGTGGGTGCAAAAGGCAGTGGGTGCATAAGGCAGTGGGTGCATAAGGCAGTGGGTGCATAGGTAGAGTGGACAGGGAAGCTCTTGGTCGAAATGTGAGGCGAGTTGGTACCAGTGGGAAGGAGGGAGAGGGACTTACGCTGGGGCCATGATGGCAGAGCCCTTGCCGTCCTTGGCGCTGATCACCTGCATGCCACTCGCCCTCACCCTCCGCACCAGCCGCACCCGCTCCTCCTCACGCAGGGAAACCGCTGGAGTAGCCTGAAGGGGACAGAGGAGCAGTGGGATAGAGAGAAGGATGGAGGCCTATCAAGCCTCACACTCATCCGCCTCACCTCCCGCACCTGCTCCTCTTCACATAGGCAACTTTTGAGGCGCCTCAAAAGTCGCACTCAACCCCCTCACCTCCTGCACCTGCTCCTCCTCGCATAGGGAAACTGCCGGAGTGGCCTGGGCGAAGGGACAGAGGGGCAGAGGAGAAGAGGGATAGGGGACAGAAGGCCAGAACAACAGAGAGAATCTCTGAGGTGCCCCAAAAATTTCCCTCACCTGCCTGACAATGGTAACGTGACGGGTATGCGACGGGCAAATGGGAGGAACTATCGGATTCACAGACTTGAGGCACAGGGAAGGACATATACACACACCTGCGAGAAGAGAGGGACGATTGTGTTGTCTCTGTTGCCTCCCACCACTGGCACTGACAGATCTGAAACGGATGGGCGAGAAGAGTGGAAAGTGCAAGTTATAGCGATTACATGACAGATCACATGACACTATTAGATAATTTGTGGGGTCAGATGCTCAGGCAGAGAGAGATGCTTCACGGAACAACTTGTGGGGCACCTCAAAAGGCAGATGCACAGGCAGAGGGAGGATGATGGATCAGACGATTAAGGGCTGGTGTCCATGGGACGAGGGAGAAAAGCAAAGGATGAAGCCACGTGAACCCTAAAACCCGGGTGTGGAGGGGAAATGTGGGGTGAGAATGGAACGGTCGGCAATGCACAGAGATTGCAAAGCCAGGCAGCAACATTCCGAATCTCAGGGTGCATCCCTGAGTTGGTGGCAAGGCAACTGTTGGTGGCAAGCGCATTTTCCGGCCCACTGAATTTTTGGGTACACTTGCCACCAACTCGATGTGAACAGTTGCCCTGCCACGAACCAGGGATGCACCCTCAAAATCCTGAATCCCAAACTCCTGAATCTCAAAATACAGAACCCAAAATTTTGCAGCACAAAATCCTGGCTCAGTTCGGCAGCCAGGGGGAAGCAATTTTGCTGGAAGGTTATCGGAAGGTGGGGCTCGCGTCAACCCAGTGTCAACGAATTTTGACCCTGGGTTGACTGCTCCGCGGAAAACCTGCGCCATTGGGGAGCTAGCGCAGATTGGAGGGGGGGGATACGAAAAAACGCCGCAGGAGAGATGCACATTTGGCCTCAAATGTGCTTGCCCCAGGGCACTGTAGTGGGAACATAAAAGGTTCGCCAGAAAAAAACTAAAGATTTGAGCCCCATGCTGTTGGGGAAATCCAACTTTCAAAAAACGAACAATTTGTTTTTTAATGCAGTAACCCTTTCCTTTGTAGGGTCCAATGTTGGCCCGTGAACAGTGAACCCAGGTGGAAGAAGAAAAGTGATTCTTCTGTTTTCAAAGAATCACTTTCTTCTTCCGTCTCGCTAGGGCGCAAGCTTTCCGCCAAGGGGGGAGAAGAAGGACAGAAGGCGGCGCGGAAGTTTGGTGGTGTTCGAGTCGCTGCTGCTAAACACCTGCGCTTCGATTTCCGGAAAGTTTACCCTACAGACCGCACTGTTTTGCCCTCGATAATGCGATTCGAAGCTTCAAAGAAGGCGAAAACATTTTTCTTCCGTCCTTCTTCCGTGGCTGCCGAACTGGGCCTGTATCCAAACAATGATAATTCCGTTGATGCCAAGGAATTTCCTCGAGACGCGTCACTAAGTTCCGCTACTCGCCCTCCCCATACTCCTGAATTGGCACTCCTTTCAACCCTGCACGCGCCCACTCCAACACCTAACCCAAGGTGTCACAGCCCCTGCCTCCCACCAGCACTGACGGCATTACCAGCCATGTCGTTGAGGTGACTTTTGAGTCGACTCAAAAGTCACCTCGGTACTCCTTTCAACCCTGCACGCCCCCACTCCAACACTTAACCCGAGGACCCACGGCCCCTGCCTCCCACCAGCACGGACGGCATTTCCCCCCATGTTGTTGCTCGCACATGAAATTGAAGGGTGTTGTTGAGAATCAAGAGTGTTTTTGAAAATGCAGGGTGTTCTGATCATTCAGGGTTCTGGCAAGCGACGTAATTCCCAGCACCCACTTCTGCATGTGATTTCCTGCTCTCGCCCCTTCCCTGGTCTCTTCCTTTCAAATCTCCCTCACCTGTCGCCTTCAGTCCCGTTGCCTCAGCCAGAAGAGCTCTAGCTCGTACGCCATGCAGCGACGTGATTCCCAGAAGCCGCCGCGCGTCGTACCTGCCTTCTGTCACCCTTTCCCTGCTCTTCTTCTCTCACCTGTGGCCTTCAGTCCCGTGGCCTCAGCCAGAAGAGCCCTGGCTCGCACGCCATGCAGCGACGTTATTCCCAGCAGCCGCCGCGCATCGTACCTGCCCGCTCCCGCCATCGCCTCTGCTGCTATTGGCACCGTGGCGTTGAGGGGGTTCGTGATCACGCCTATCACCGCCTGGATAAATGAAAAGGAAGGGAAGAAAGAGGAGGAAAGGGGTGTGAACAGCCGCCTCACATCGTACTTGCTTGCTCCCGCCATCGCCTCTGCTGCTATCGGCACCGTGGCGTTGAGGGGGTTCGTGATCACGCCTATCACTGCCTGGGGTGGTGTGTGGTCATAAAGGTGGAGGGAAATGCTCGGTCAAATCAGACAGAGGGAAAGCAGGAAGGGCGTGGCGTTGAGGGGGTTTGTGATCACACCAATCGCCGCATGGAGTAGTGAAGACAGCGAGGAGGGCAGGGAAAAAAGGGGAAGGGAAAAAAGGGGAAGGGAAAAAAGGACGTGGCGTTGAGAGGGTCCATGATCACCTCAATCCCTGCCTGGAGTGACGATCAGTACCGCTTTGCAGTGTTGAGGCATTTCCAAAGCCCATACCTGTGGGCTGGGCTTGGCAATGGACTCGAAACGCAAAACTGGTCGGTCCTCGTCCTTCGTGGACAAACGACCAGTACAGTACGGCACTCCCCTTCTGCATGCGTCAATTCGGCGATCGATTCGGCACAAGCTCCTCACGATCTTTGAGGCGCCTCACAAGTCGGCACAAGCTCCTCACGATCTCAGCAAGCTGACTTTTGATTCGACTCAGAAATCTCAGCACGATTCGTCCTTCATGCACGACCAGTGGGCCATGGCACTCCTTTCCGTCACGCATTTCAAGAGCCCATGCCTCTGGGCTGTGTTTGGCGATTGACTCGCACAGCCCTCTCACGATCCCCGCGTTCATGCAGAAGCGATCCTCGTCCCCCATGGTCGACCGGTACGGCACTACCCTTCTCCACACATCTTCACACGCCTGTCACGCACTCCAGAACCCCCTACCTCAGGACTATGTTTGGCGATCGACTCGCACAACCCCCTGACAATTCCAGCGTTCATGCAGAAGCGATCCTCGTCATTCATGGACGACCGGTACGGCACTCCCGCCAGCACCAGCACCACGTGCGAGCCCCGCAGCGCGTCTGGCAGCTCGTACGGCCCCAGGTAGCTGCTGACCTGGCAGTGGAGATAGGAGAGGAGGGGATTGGAAGCCGTCTAAACAATCTCTGCAGCGCGTCTGGCAGCTCGTACGGCCCGAGGTAGCTGCTGACCTGGCAGAGGAGATAGGAAAAGAGAGAATGCAGGTTCGTCGAGGCATTTTAGAGGCGTCTCAGAGCCAAAACGTGAATCCTGGTTTATTAGCTGCTCACACCGTCAGGAATTAACTTTAATTGAGTGTAGTCAAGAGAGGCAGAGCTATAGCATCGAGAGTATCAATAATCAGGAGTTTCTCTGCAAACAAAATCCTCAGCAGATAAAATGCTGCTCGCAGCGAAGAACAAGTAAGCTGATCAGTGAGTGAAACGGGTGTACTGATTGCTTCGGAATAAAAGGATTTTGGTTCAAGGTCCAACCACCTTTGTTCCCCTGCGGATGTGGCTAACAATCAAGACGTCTCTAAAAAAATCAGTGACTCTGGTTCGAGGTCTAGTCACCTTGGTTCGCGTGCAGATATGGCTCAGGTCAGCAACCACGCCAGGCATGCCCGTGACGTCATACAGGGCCAGATCCGTTACAAGCGGATTCATTTTCACCAGCAGGCTCAGCGGATTGCCAATGCCGCCAGCAGCTCCTAAAACCGTCACTTTTCGAGGCACTGGTGCTGCTGACGTGGACATCATCCGCCTGAAAAGCGGGAGAACTCTACTAGCGACAGTCATTTTGAATAGTTAGTCGGTACCAATGGGTCGACTGTTTAAAATCGCTGGCTGAAAAAGTTCTGCAAACGTTCTGCACCAGAAACGTCCGAATGGTAGACACCTATTGAGGAAGCCTCTAAGCCCACCAGAGAAGGCCACGAATCGAGCGCGACCGACGGAAGCAAAGTGGGCATCAGGACGGTTTGGATAGGATTCGCGCGAACACAGGCATGAGAGCAGGCATGATCCGCAAACCTTGCACTTCACTATTCCTGAGCATTGCTTCAACAGGTGCTGCTTTCGAGGAGTAACTACAATTCCCATTCACTTTCGGTACAATTCGGTTGGCTGCAAGTAGCTCTGGTAATAGACGGTTGAGTTACATCAGAGGTAAAATCTGTCAGAAGTATTTTTCTGGGCCGCAAGGGATGCATGCGGCCTGAAGGAGTAGGTGGGCAGGAATCTCTTGTTGCTGTCCGTGCTGCCATTGCTAAGGGTGTGTCAGATCTGCTTTCGCGCTAATCCGACCGGCCGGATTTCGCGAAAGTAACCGTGCTGCGACGCTCGTTTGCAAGTTTCGGCTCATCCGGCCACATGTTGTAAGATCCGTTGGCCGTTTCATGAGTCAAAAACAAACCGACGTGCAGTCGACTCGAAAGTCGACCAGGCTAAGCTACAGTGACTGTGCGACTTCGCATGCTCAAGCCTGCGACGACACGGCACATGGTAACTTTTTTTTTTGGTAGGTGAAAATGCATTATACAACGTACAACGCAAAACACCGTCGGTCGTAACCGGAGCTAGAGGGCATAGGTAGTGTATACCGTACCCTCGCAGAGATCTACGGAGGCTTATAGACCAAACGCCTAAAAAATTCAACTTGCCCACTACAAAACCTCTTTGTGCCGTTGGCACACTTCAACTCTGGCAGAAACGCCTCGGTAGGTTCCAGGTTCTGTGTCTGTCGCTTCGGCTGGGAAGAATCGGCTCCGAGCCTGCCTTGCCGTGCCTTGTAAAAAGGTTGGGATCCAACAGAGAAAACCCTGGTTCGAAATTGCTGCCGAGCGGGACCTTTGTGACGGATGTACAGTCTTGGTCCTTTGGCTCCAAATCTGATTCGCCGAGAGTGGTGGAGTGCAGACTTTGCCCTGGATCTAAGTTGCTGCCTATCAACTGTGCCTTGTACACCAAAGCCTCCTGTGCCAGGCAGTTGCGTGAGCGGTGTGCTGGGAGCTACCCCCACTGTCCGAGGGGAGAAAGCAGGAGCAGCTGCACCAGCAACGGATTTCTTCTGAAAGACCCCGCGCGTCTCACAGTCAGTCTTAGCGTAGCGCCATAGTCCAGTTTCCTCCAGCGACATGAGCTTATCCTGAAAACTTTCTGCCGTAGAATCCACCAAGTTATGCTCTGTATCCATGATACCATTGACCTTCCCCTCCTGCCGCCAGAAGTTGTAGCTAAGAAACACAGAATAAACGTCTTCCTGAGTTGATGGTGAAGCTTTCTGTAGAACAGGTGGTTCTTGATCTGATATGGTCAGAATCCTCTTTTCCTTGAAATCTGGACTTGAGTCAGCCACGTAGACATTCCTTGTAATGCGTTGAGATGACAAGCGTAGAGTTCCTGCTTTTGAGCGATGTAGGATGGCAGAAAATGCTGATAATCTGAAAATGTTCCGTCCAGAAATTTCCTTGTACTTCACACCCTTTCTTGCACCTGCACTTCTTCTCGGGAGCCATTCTAGATGTCCTTCATTTTGCTTCTGCTGCAAACATGATGTATACCCCGTCTTGTCAGAAACCAACGCTGATCCAGACTTGGTAGTTCTCGATGGTGGTAAAAAACATGTCCGCGGCTGACGCGACGTCTCTTTTAAAGTCTGTTGTCGAACAATTGAAGAGAATGTTGATAGACGAAATATATTTGGCGGTCCAGTTGCTGTGTACTTTCTCTTCTCATGGTGTGTCAAGCCTTTCTTGCTGTCCAGGTTCCAACTTGGGTGACGACTTGTGCTAAGCTTGGCCATTATCACTTCCATGGAGTAACTTAATGTCTTGAGCTTAAAACAAGTTAAAAACCTGAAAAACAGATCTTCACAAGAGGAAGTCGCGACGAACCAATGTTCTCTGTTTGAACACAAAATGGTGTCGTAATCAAGCTCTTGATGAGTAGATCCGGAATATGTATTCAGATCTTGAAACTGATAGCGATTAGCTTGACATTGTGTGAGTTAAAGTTCTCCTAGGAGCCATGGCGGAGAGCTTGGAGAGGAGAGATTGGAAGCTCGTGAGTTCGGTTCAGGCACTTGACTAGGCATGCACTGCCTTCCAGCTGGAATCGAATTCCTTGCCTAGAATCGAATTCCCAGCTGGAACTGCACATGGTAACTACAAAATAACCAATCATTGAAAAACATGCGACGTCTTCGCACAATCCGGCCAAACCTTCGACTGCAAATCTGACAGACCCCTGCAATTCGGCCACCAAAAGTGTCTGTTTTGAAGATGTGGCCTACGGGTGGTCGACTACGAAGTTGACCACGTAGTCGTCTTTCGCAAAAAAAATTGTCGACAATATGGTCGACAAATAACCAGCCAGAACAGCTTTCAGCGGATCTGACACACCCTAAATGATTGGACAACTATGCTGGGTCAGGCGGTTTCAAGGGAATTGTTTACCGTTTATTGGGCGATAGTTGACTGCAAGACGGAAACGTGTACGCTTCTGTTTGGATACAATCAAGCGTCGGGAACATGGCAGGTTGAAGTTGAGAGCGCATAATCACTTTTAAGCATGTTCGTTAAAATCACTCGACTAATTGATGTACTTAGACCGGTATTTATTATCATTCATATAAAAAAGTACTTAGATAGAAGTACACCGTTATGCGCATGTAATATTTCTCACAGGCAACCAATAAAATCATGTTTTGGCGATTAAATACTATATCATGAAATTATTAAATATCATAAAACTCTAGAGAGTGTCTTCCTTGATTATTGATCGAATGCTCTTATACACTCAGCCCTTCTAAAAAGGTAAAATGTGCATTGCATGAGTGTGAAACTATTAGCGGTTTGAGGCTTTAAACATAGGATCTGTTTCGCGCCTAGGTTGGGCCTGGTTATCGGCCTGCCACGTGGTTGGACAGATCCTGCCACTTCATCACGTCGCAATCTCGAAAAGCATCCCTTTTACTATTCAATGGTTCAGATCTCGATATCGCTCCTTCCGAAACGAAGATATGACCTGTCGCACGAGTCATCTGTCGTGGAATTTGTCGCCCCGCGTTTCTCCCAAGAGGTTGGCTTCGTTATCGCTTCATCTGACGAAGAATCCAAGGGCCAAGAGACGATCACTGTCGATCTCCTGTCATCCAACCGTCAGCAACGCCCATTGTCAATTTCTGGCCATTCCCCTTCCCTCGATCTCTCCTCCCCTTTCCCGCCTCAAAGAACAGCTGGTGCTGCGGTTGCACCAAGAGGTTGCACCGCAGGGTACAGTATGACGAGGACAGGCCTTGGGATTGCCACTTGGGATAGTCGAACCTTGGGAACGCCCCCCTCCTCTCACTCCTCGACCAAGTCCTTTCCCCTTCTGTTTCTCCGTCCCCTGAAACTCACAGTTCAAACGATCTGGCCCCTGATCGTTTCCTGATTCAGCACATCGACCGAACTGTGGAAATTGGGTTTCCAGAGGATCCGATTTCCGGAGTTCACACTGGTAACGAGCCACAGCACCTAGGTCATTGAGTTCCAAGTGTTACTCTGCTGAACACCCGAAATGGAAGCCATGTCGGTGTATTCGCCGATCCGTGCTGCCTCGCAGCTCCCCGCCGTTCGATCCCTTCACGGCGATGCTCTCGGACAATCCCTAAGGAGCTCAAATTCCGTTAGCCTACCAATCCCCAAGGCTTCTCCAGCCGGTCAGATCTTGCCAGGAGGCTCTGCTCCGCAGAAGCTTCAGATCCAGGCCAAGATCCTGAAGACTAAGAGAGCTCCGAGAGACCCAGACTACCCGTGGCCGGATAAGTACAATGTGGAGGAGAAGGGGGCTCTGGCGTTCCTGTCCAAGTTTAAGGACGAAGCCAAGCCCACCAAACCGATGGCGCTGCCGTTCGAGAAACCGCTGGTCGACCTCGAGAAGAAAATTGAGGAGGTAAATAGATTATTGATTCTAGAAAGCGGCGTGAAATTGACCGGGAGCTCGCTGATGCTGGAACCTTTGCAGTCTTGTACCGCAAAAAACCTCCAGCGTTTGTCAGATTGCTGCTTCGACCGGCTCCAACCCCTTTCTTAAACCGCACCACGTAGTAGCTGACAGGGTCGCGGAGAAATTTTGCGTATATTAGAATTCGTCAATGATTCGTTTTCATGCGTCATCTTATGGCTATCCATTACCTTCCTCTCACCACGAGTCCCATTAATCTCCAGTAATGGCGCTGTAGATGCGATTGTGACTGACTGCGAATGTTGTTGTGTACCTCACCAGGTGCGCCAGCTGGCGGATAAGACTGGCATGGACTTCACGGACCAGGTGCAGGAGCTGCAGGACAAGTACGAGCAGGTGAGCCAATCGCAACCTATCAGTTAACGGTTACGGGGAAAATAACTGCTGGATTCTCAATCAGCCGCGCTCCCTTTTTTCGTTTCCTATTTTCTGCTATCTATTAATTGTGCGCTCAGCACTTAGGACCTGGGTGCTTACCCGTCGCCCTTCCCCTTCAACCCCGTTTTCCTTTCCCCCATTCTCGGCTGTCTCTCTCTATCCCTCCCTCGGCCTCGCTATCTCCGCTCCTCCAGCTGAAGCGCGACATTTACGCGAGAATAACTCCGGTTCAGCGGCTCAGCGTGGCGCGTCACCCCAACCGCCCCACTTTCTTGGACCATGTCCTCAACATGACCGATAAGGTAGGCCATATTCTCTCACACGTTCCAATTTCGGTTTGCGTCTCTATCTACAAAGACGCTTTCTCATCAGAACCGATTTGTCCATCCTCGCTATCGTTTCGGCTTCCTTTTTCCCTAGTGTCCGTGCTTACAATAATACTGATTTTTGTGCTTATGCTCAGACACTTATCGTGCTTCCCCTCTGACCGCTGTCCTACGTACCCCCCCGCCGCTTCTCGCTCTCCGGCTCGCTCTCGTTTTTCCTTCTCTCTTGCGTATCAATTACTACATCCTTCGCTCGCTGATCCTCTTTCCGCGTACTCAACCTCTTCCGCCCCCACTGGGCTGAACTGCACGGCGGCCGCGGAAGTCGCGACAATCCTTTCATTCCCACTTCCGCTCTTCATTTTCTCCTGACATTTCTCCTTTCCGTTTACTCTTTCCCCCAGTATGCGTGGAATTGCACGGCGACCGCAGGGGTAACGACGACCTGGCTCTCTTACATCTCCCCCACTGTTCTCCCCTCTCCGCGCACTTTCCGCGTCCTCCTCTCCGGTCACTTTCCCCTCCCCCCACTCCGCGCTCAATGCTCCCCACGCGCGCTGGGTGATGCTGCACCACGACAGCGGGGGCGACGACGACCCGGCTCGCTTTCATCTCGCCCTCCAATCTCGCCTCTCCGTGCAATTTTCCTTCTGGCCTCACTGCGCGCGCACTCTTCACCTCCTCCTCCCCTTCCGCGCACTTTCCCATCACCGCACTCTTATCTCCCCTCCCGCTCCTCCTCCCTCCCCCCTCCTCTCCGTTATCCTCCCCTCCCGCAGTGGGTGGAGCTGCACGGTGACCGCGGCGGCTACGACGATCCGGCGCTGGTGTGCGGCATCGGGCGCATGGACGGCATGAGCTTCATGTTCATGGGGCACCAGAAGGGCCGCAACACTAAGACCCCTTCCGTTCTCCCTCTCCCCCGCGCATTTTCCCCTTAACCCCTCACCGCGCGCTTGCCTCCCACCCCCCCACACACACACCCCTCCCCCCCCCTCCCGCAGTGGGTGGAGCTGCACGGCGACCGCGGCGGCTACGACGACCCGGCGCTGGTGTGCGGCATCGGGCGCATGGACGGCATGAGCTTCATGTTCATGGGGCACCAGAAGGGCCGCAACACCAAGGAGAACATCTACCGCAACTTCGGCATGCCCACGCCCAACGGGTGAGCGCGAGAGAGATAGAGGGAGACGAATGGATGGGGAGAGAGGGAGGGAGGGAGGGAGGGAGGGAGGGAGGGAGGGAGGGAGAGTGAGAGTCCAGGCGAACGCCTGCAGGCTGCTGTATACTTGGCGTGCGTGAGTCAGCGCTTGCGCGAATGCACTAGCTGACCCTCGTGGCATGTACGCGGGTTGGCGAGGAATGTTCCTGTACGTACAACGGCGTGCGCCATCTTGCTGCATGCCGCGCCATCTCTCTGCATGTCCGCGGGCGAGCGCGGTGGCCAGTGCGTTAGCTATGATGTGTCTTGTTGCATGTGTCTCGCTCCGTCTGTCGCATGTCCCCGCTTGCTCTCGCCACGGCAGCGTGCTTGTGTCTCTTCTGGCTCTTGTGCTTGCTATGGCCACCTCCGCCAGTTTATTCCTCGCTGTTAATCGTTTCCCATCGACCCACACCCTCCCCCCCTCTCTCGCGTGCATCAGGTACCGCAAGGCGCTGCGCATGATGCGCCACGCGGACCACCACGGGCTGCCCATCATCACATTCGTTGACACGCCTGGCGCTTACGCTGGCGTCACGGCGGAGGAGCTCGGACAGGTGAGGAGCTCGGACAGGTGAGGAGCTCGGACAGGTGAGGGAGGGAAACATTTTCTGAAGCCATGATAGCACGTTCTCGGACATTTAGACAGTTGCGGAGTGGTCAGGCAGTAGGACAGGTGACATGTGGTTGTTAGGTATCGTAGGCTGCCCATCATCACATTCGTCGACACGCCCAGCGCGTACGCTGGCATCACGGCAGAGGAGCTTGGACAGGTGAGAGGGCACTCTTGAACCGGGGAACAACCAATTTCAAGCAGCTAGGCAGGTGGAATGACAGTAGAACAGGTAACAGGGTATACCACCGTGCGCATCAGGGGATGTCACTGACATTCCTGGCAGCTATGCTGGAATGGAGGGCGTCGCAAGGAGCTCGGAGAAGGGAGGGCGTTTCAGTATAGTCATGTGTTAGAGGCGTGGTGTGCGCATTCAGTGCCTGAGTTGCCATGCTTCCCAACTCAACTATCCCTTTTTTCCCCATTTCCCCCCTATCACCCTGTCCTCTTCATTTCTCCACTCCATTCCCTCTTCTTTCCTCTCCCCCTCCCTCCTCCCCCCTTCCCGCTCTCTCTCCTCCCTTCATGCATTGGGCTCAATTCCCAGGCCGAGGCAATTGCGCACAACCTGAGGGAGATGTTTGGGCTCAAGGTGCCGTCAGTCAGTGTGGTCGTGTGGTTCCTGCCTCTTCCATTCCGCTCATCCTGTTCCCGTCCCCCTCCCCTCCTCCCACCAGGGCGAGGCTATCGCGCACAACCTGAGGGAGATGTTTGGACTCAAGGTGCCGTCAGTCAGTGTGGTGATTGGGGAGGGCGGCTCTGGTGGCGCTCTCGCTATTGGCTGCTGCAACAAGATGCTCATGCTCGAGAACGCAGTGTACTTCGTTGCCAGGTAAATTTTATGTTTCTCTCCGCCAGTGTACCACTTTGCATGCCTCTCGCAGCCACTGACGAGCCTCTTTTCCTTCATTTTGTGCTGCGGTGCGTGTTTGCTTGAGCGTATGGGGGTATACGTGCATTTGTGTGTCTAAGTGAATATGTGTGTTTGTTCATGTGTGTGAGTGTGTGTGCATGTGTCCATGTGCATGTGTGGGTACGTATCTCTGATTGCACCCCCCCGTGTGCAGCCCTGAGGCGTGTGCGGCCATCCTCTGGAAGACTGCCGCTGCCGCTCCCAAGGTGAGTCGCTCACCGAACCAAATAACGGAACCGAACCACATCTCTGGCACACCGTGCACGAAACTTAACTTCGCCCAGAAATTTAAAACTGTACAATTTTTCAACTGGCTGCTGCCCCCTCTTCTCCCGCTGCTCCCTCTGCCGCCTCTGCTTGACATCTCTATCGTTCTGTATCTTCCCCCGGTGCTTGTCTCATCTTCCAACCATCCCACCATCTCGCGGGTTACCAGGCCACGGAGGCGCTGCGCATCACAGCGGATCAGCTGCTGCAGCTGGGCGTGGTAGACGAGATCATCCAGGTGCGCGTGTTAGTGTGCTTCTCCTGCTCAATGTTATGCTCATTGACACCCCCCCCCCTCGGCCTCTCCCTCCCCTCCACCCGCCCGTCTCCCCATCCCATTCCCTTCCCCTTTGAGCCTTTTCCCCCTCGTCTCTTCTCACTTGGCCTCCTGTCCTCCTCTAACTCATCCTCACCCATCTTTTCCTTCTCTCCTTTCTCATGTCTCCCGCCTCAGGAACCCCTTGGTGGCGCACACAACGATCACATGGCCACGTCGATGGCCATCAAGGCCTCCATCATGGCGCACATGAAGGTGGGGCGAGGGGGAGGGGCGAGAGGGAGAGGCTTGTGAGGTGAGGGCGTATGTGACATGGTGTTAATAGCACTGGTTCACATTCACGATGACCACACGGCCACATCGATGGCCATCAAGGCCTCCATCGTGGCGCACATGAAGGTGGGGTGTGGGAGACGAGGAGCATAAAAGGAGAGAGAAAGAGGTTTGTGAGGCGAGAAGCTTTGTGAGGCGAGAGGCTTGTGAGGCGAGAGGCTTGTGAGGCGAGAAGCTCGAGAGGTTTTTGAGGTGGAAAGTGTGACATCAGGACGATAACACGGGGATTCGCAGTTCTGGGAGGAGTGCACAACACAACGATCACATGGCCACATCGATGGCCATCAAGGCCTCCATCATGGCGCACATGAAGGTGGGGCGAGGGCAGAGCGGGAGGGGATGTTGTGCGCCCAGAAAAAGGGGGAACTCGTGAGGAGAGAAGTTTCATATGGGAATGGCAGCACTGGGATGGTTTGTATGAGCAGGGTTTCACAACGGTCACATGGCCACATCGATGGCCATCAAGGTCTCCATCGTGGCTCACATGAAAGTGGGGAAGGGGAAGGGGCGAGAGGGAGAGGGAGAGGCTTGTCAGGGCTCGCGCGGTGAGGGGATATATATTATATGACAGGGTGATGATAGCACTGGGTCACATTCATGATGACCACATGGCCACTCCAATGGCCGTAAGGCTGCCATCATGGCGCACATGATGGGGAAAGGGGGAGGGGAGGGGGGCTTGTGAGGAGATGGCGAGACTTGCTAGGAGAGTGGTATGACATGGTAATGATAGCAGTGCCACCCAGGAATGCGTTTGTTGTAAGGGGGGGGGCGGTCACACGGTCACGTCAATGGCCGTCGAGTTGAGGCTTGTATCATGCTGCACGTGAAGGTGGGGCGCAAGAGGTTGCTGGAGGAGAGATTAGAGGCTTGTGAGGAGCGAAAGAGAGGTCTGTGAGTAGAGAAAGGGAGGATTGTGGAGAGAGGGGTATGACAAGGCGATGATAATCAACCAATGAAGTTACCTTGAGACCTTGATCTTGAGGCTTGAGGCATGGAGATGATAGCACTGGCAATGGCATGCATCGTGACCACGTGAGTGACCTGATAATCACTGGCAATTGTGTCTTCAAGCTTCCATGGCCCTTGCTAGTGTCATCATCTCCACGCCCCATGCCTCTCTTCCTCCACCCTTTCCTCGCATCCTTTCCTGCCATGATTTCCCGCTTCTTTTCCCCCCGGCCCGTTCTCCCTCTGTGCGTACGCCGAGCAGGACCTTGTGAAGAAGGACGAGCAGCGAATCATCTGTGAGCGCGTGAACAAGTTCCGACAGATGGGCGGCTTCACGGTGCCGCCCAAGGTGGACCCCGCCAAGCAGCGCGCTCTCAAGAAGCGCGACCGCCCCGCCGGCCAGAGCATCCCTGCCTCTCCGTCCAACCGCTCCTTGCCTGCCTCGGGATCCCAGCCTGCTGCCGCGCCTTCTGACAATGGCAATGGTGCCACGTATCCTTCGTCTGTTGTGAGCGCGGATGCCAATGCCAGAAGCTAGACCTGGGAAAGGAAGAGACTGGAGGACGCGGATATGTGTGGAGGTATGGTGGAGGAAAGTGGAGGGTATTTTGGTGTTGATTGATTATCCAGGTGCCCTTCATGCAATGAGAGGGCACCTGCAAATAGAGTAGAGAATAATTGGTTTCTTTTTTTTGTTACTGGTCCATCAATCTGTTCTCGTTTGTGATTCGTCTTTTTAGCTTGTACTGCTTGCAGCAAGTTCCTTATTTCAATGTTTTAGTAATTTCCTGAACTTTCTAGGCTTCATGGATCATTATACCGATTAGATGTTCTGGTTATATGAAATAAACTGAGTCTTCCAATAATATGTTCCACCACTGTTGTACTCGTTTTCTTGAAAATACCGGGAATAGCCGGGCTTTGGTACGGTCCACAGTTTTGCGCTACGGTGGAGAAACCATTTTTCTGTGCTTACCGCAAACACACCATTTTCCCACGCATGGTTCAGGCGGGAGGTCCAGTAGGCGAGTCAGTTCTTTATCGTGGCTCAGAACGTTTCGACACGGTGGGAAGCGTTTCTCGACGTTTAGCGTCCTGCACCGTGACGGAACTAAGGACGCGTCAACTCCTGCAAATTTCGGCGATCGATCCTGCGCAAGATCGAGTTTTACCTGGGTTAGAGGAGGTTCTTTTAAAAATTGGAAGAAAACGCGGGATTTCAGTGCGGTTTCCGATCGATTTTGCAGGATCGATCGCCGATTTAGCAGGAGTAACGCGTTCTAAGTTGGCTGGTGTGAGCGCACAGTAGTTCTGGAACCTAACCTTGCCGCATTCAGCAGCCATGGAATTCGCTAACCAGCAGAAAGCGAAGAACCATCAGTGGTCACTCCTCGCGTGAACCAGATGAATTTCCTCTTTCTGAAACGTCTGCTGCATCTCAAGTGTTGCTTGGGTCTGATTAATTTTGTTTCTCGGCTCTTTAGGCGCCTCAAAATACAGAACTCGGCTGGTGCTTAGCAGCACTTGCGATTAACCCGGTTAACCTCAGTCATGATGCTGAAGGGTGTTTTTGAGAATTCTCAAAACACCCTCAGTCATGCGTAGTCAGGGACAGGCTTCTAGCCGCACCCCTCCGCGTTTGTTCTTCGCCGGATTTCTCGCCTCACAGTCGCCAAACTTGTCAATCACCAACGCGAATAATGACGAGCCTGTCCATAACGAACACATAATGGACCGGTTTCCGAATTCCAGTGGTGCTTATAACGAGATGTCCATTAACGCGTGTATAGTGCCAAGCTTCGATGAGGTCAAAGCGCAGGGTGAGAATGGCGACTGGGAGCACCCCACGTGGCGGTTTCTAGCAGGCGGAGGCTGCGGAACCGCATTGGCTATAGATGGTAAGCTACTTGACCGCATCGGCCTTGGGCTTGTCTGTGCTACGAGCGATTCTGACTTGTAGCGAGTCACAGATCCTTGTAGCGAGTTTCCGGCATACTTGCACAAATGCTTGTAGCAAGATTTGCAGGCGTCAATTCACGAATCAATTCAAGAATCGATCTATGAGCGAAGAAGATGTGCGTGCCATGGTAGCCGTCTGACATTGCACGGTAGCCGTCTGACATTGCAGGTAGCCGTCTGACATTGCACGGTAGCCGGCTGACATGGCATGGTAGCCAGCTGACATGGCATGGTGGTCGGTTGACATGGCATGGTGGCCAGCTGACATGGCATGACATGATATTATTCCTTCAGGAAACGGTTTTGTGTGGCAGGTGACTGAGGAGCGTGGTAAGAAGCAGCAGCCATCGTTTGTAGAAACGGATGAAGAGCAGCGCGAACATGGCAGCGAGCAGCAGGAGAGGGACAATCAAGAGAGGGAGCAGCAGGAGAGGGACAATCAAGAGAGGGAGCAGCAGGAGAGAGAGCAACACAAGAAACGGTCTAATGACAGCGAGAGAAGGGTGGACGGTCTGGAGAAGAGAACTATCAGGCAGGAAGGGAAGGAGTGGGAAGGGGAGGAAGAGGCGACTGGAGCAGCGAGACACAGGACTCGTCTGTGTGCTGTTCGCTGGGACAGGCAACCAGCCAATGAGCGTGTGACAGGTGGCGAGTGCTCGCAAGACGCTGCGGTCTTTGTTTCTGGTGAGTGGAATCAGGGCAAGAGGCGTTTCGTCCGTTGTGTTGTGGTGCTGACGTGTCATGTTGCGTTGCATGTTGCACAAGGGTTTCTCTCACGTGGCAGTACCTTGCAGTGGCTTGTACCAAGCGAACACATTCTTGTAACGCCGTTTCCTGTTACTTTTAGCTAACCGAATACGGTTATGAGACATTGACCTTTGAATTTCTGTAAGAAATCCTCCTCACCCCAACCTCTCTCACAGACATACTCTCCCCTCCCCACCCCCTCTCCTTATCCATCACCCTTCTCTGCCCTTCCTCCCTGCAATCTACAGCATCAGGCCGACTCCTGCAGTGGAACATTGCCCCTGCTGCTGCTGGACAGCAGCGTGTTCATGCAGCGAATAACACTCAAGCAGCACCACAGCACACCCCTTTTTCAGCACCACACCACACCCCGTCTGCAGCACAGCACACCCGTCCAGCACCACAGCACACCCCTTCTGCACCATCACACCAAGGCCTCGTATCAGCACAGCTCAGCCCCACGGCACAAGCTTCCCCCGGCAGCAGACATTCTGACTCTGCTGACGCCTGCCCTCCCCTCCTCTTCCCATCGCTTCCCCACTGGGTTTCCATCTCGTCAGTCTCTGTGGGCCTCCGCCATTGCCTCGCACTCTCAGGTGATTTCTCAGGTGGTGGCCGCTGTGAGTGTGCTGCTGCTATCCCCTCCTCCCCTCGCTTCTGCTTGGAGTCAGCATCTCTTGCGTCTCTGTTTTAGTTTGGCCTCCGTCATTACTTCTCTCTCTCTCGCGAAAATTCTCAGTTTTTCTTACCCCCTGTCTCCACTATGCTCTTCTACAACCAGCAGCCAACGGCATGGTGTGGGCGTGGCGTGGGGCGAGGGGGGTGAGGGGCAGCTGGGGGTTCAAAATAAACCAACACACGCACAACTCCTCTCGCCTCTCCCCCTCCCTGTAACCTCTACCCAGAGCAGCCAACGGCATGGTGTGGGCATGGGGCGAGGGGGGTGGGGGGCAGCTGGGGGTTCAAAATAAACCAACACACGCACAGCTCCTCTCCCCTCTCCCCCTCCCTGTAACCGCTCCTCCTCCCACAGCAGGCAGTGGCATGGTGTGGGCGTGGGGCGAGGGGGGTGAGGGGCAGCTGGGGGTTGGCAGGCGGGTGGGGAAGATGACAGTACCGGTGTGCGTGATGCTGCCTGCCCCTCTTACAGCGTCCGCTACAGATGACTCATTACGAGCAACAGCGGTGGCTTGTGGAGGGAGACACAGCCTCGTTCTGGCAGGTGGGCAGAGGTGGGGGGGGAAGGGGGGGTTGTTGTGGGCGTGGGGCGAGGGGGGTGAGGGGCAGCTGGGGGTTGGCAGGCGGGTGGGGAAGGTGACAGTGCCGGTGTGCGTGATGCTGCCCGCCCCTCTTACAGCGTCCGCTACAGATGACTCATTACGAGCAACAGCGGTGGCTTGTGGAGGGAGACACAGCCTCGTTCTGGCAGGTGGGCAGAGGTGGGGGGGGAAGGGGGGGTTGTTGTGGGCGTGGGGCGAGGGGGGAGAGGGGCAGCTGGGGGTTGGCAGGCGGGTGGGGAAGGTGACAGTGCCGGTGTGCGTGATGCTGCCCGCCCCTCTTACAGCGTCCGCTACAGATGACTCATTACGAGCAACAGCGGTGGCTTGTGGAGGGAGACACGGCCTCGTTCTGGCAGGTGGGCAGAGGTGGGGGGGGAAGGGGGGGTTGTTGTGGGCGTGGGGCGAGGGGGGAGAGGGGCAGCTGGGGGTTGGCAGGCGGGTGGGGAAGGTGACAGTGCCGGCATGCGTGATGCTGCCTGCTGCTCCTGCAGGATCCGTTATATGCAACAGAGACGACTCGTTACAGTCAACAGCGGTGGCGTGTGGAGGGAGACACAGTCTCGTGCTGGCAGGTGGGTGGGTGGGGTGGGGAGCAATCATGCAAGGTGGGCACAGGCACAAGCGCAAGCTCAGGCACAGAGGCAGGGGCAGGGGCAGGAGCAGGGGCAGGAGCAGGGGCAGGAGCAGGGGCACGGGCACGGGAGGGGCACGGGTACGAGCAGGGGCACGGGTGGGGGAACATGTCCTAACTCGTCCGTTCCTGCTCGTTCCATCTCCATTCTCCCATGTTTCATCCCAATTTCCTCCCCATTCCCCTTCCCCATGCCCCGTCCCCCCACATTCTCCCAATCCCTCCCCCTTCCCCATTTGCAACCTTTTACCTCCACCTCCGCCTCTCCTGTGTCTCCTCTCTTTGCCTGTGCAGAGGATGGCTCTCTCTTTTCCTTTGGATGGGGCCAGTATGGACAGGTATGTGTGCCAGCCTCTCCCGCTCCCTCGCTCTCCCTTGCCTCTCCTCCTTCCCCTCCTCCTCCCTCTCCCCCTTTTTCCTCCTCCCGCCTCGACCTCCACCTCTCCTGTGTCTCCTATCAAAAGCGCAGCTGCGTCATCCTTAGCTTGTGTGGGCTGCATGCAGCAGCCATGGCTCCCATTGCATTGCAACATGCCTTTCTGACGGCTGGCCTCTGGCAGCGCTCTCTTTCCCTGCCTGCTCACTCACTGCTGCTGCTGCTGACCATGCTCACCCCTTCTCACCCTCTACTACCCCACCACCCGTCCCCCCAGTGTGGTCACGGCACATCAGACGACCATCTCTCCTCCACTCGCATCGCATACCCCCTACCAACCCCCCTCCCAAGTGTGGCCACGGCACATCAGACGACCATCTCTCCCCGACCCGCCTCACCTCCTTTGCCGGCCTCTCAGTGACAGCCGTCGCTGCTGGCCTCTGGCACTCCCTCGCCGTCACCCTCCCTGCCGCTTCCCTCACTGCTGCTGCTGGTGCTCGTCCCAGTGGCGATGCTGCTGGTGTTGATGCTTGCTATATCTCATCCTTTTTCTCCCTAACCTGCCCCCGTCACCCCCACCTCCCCTCCAGTGTGGCCACGGAACGTCAGACGACCATCTCTCCCCCAACCGCCTCGCCTCCTTTGCCGGCCTCTCAATAACAGTCATCGCTGCTGGTCTCTGGCACTCCCTCGCCCTCGCCCTCCCAGCCGGTTCGATCAACAGACGTGGTGCTGGTACTGGTGGCGGTGGAGGTGGCGGTGGCGGTGCTGACGTGGATGTGGGCGATGCTGACGTGGAGCTGGACGGGGGTGATGTGTACAGCTGGGGAGGCAATCAGTCTGGCCAGCTGGGGACTGGAGACACGGCTGCTAAGGTGCAAACAACCACCGTTCCAAACCCAGCTGTTGCACACACGTGTTGGACCATTCGTTTCCATCATCTATCTCTGTCTGTGTGCCTGTGCCTGCTGCCCTGTCAGGTGTTTCCAACGCTACTAGATTGCCCGGATCTAGACACCCGTTCAGTGAAAGCCATCTCCTGTGGAGCGCGCCACTCAGCTGCTGTCACCACCGACGGCGCTCTTTTCATCTGGGGCTCCAACAAGTTTGGGCAGGTGTGTGTGTTGCACTTTCTCATGCGTGTAACTGCAACCCTCATGGTTCTAGGTATGAACTTCATTTCCATGCGTACAGTACTTCATAGAACTGATGTTTGTCACACCTTGCACCCATTTATTGCGCATTGAACCCAGTGCGCATGCTTTGATATCCACTCACGAGGTGCCCCTTGTGTGGAACTCGTATGGATTTTTTCTCATGTAATATTTGTATCAGGTACTCACAGTGGGCATACTGAGTCATGTCCATTTTCTTTGCACTCCACCTAAAGGCATTATACGATTGTTGTTTCTCATCACTGTGATGTGTGATGCCAGTTGGGAGTTGGTCATACAAACGACACTCACTCCCCTCACATGGTTGCCATGAGGGAGTTTCACCAACAACTTTGTGGTGACAAAGCTAGCGTTGGTACCGGTGGTAAAAAACAGAAGTGTGAGCGTTACGTGTGTGTGCAAGATGCCAAGTGTGGCTGGTGGCACACTCTTGCGATTGTTACGGGTCACGAAAGCAATCATTGATTAGGAGAATCGTGGATGATGATTTAGTGGGTTGTCTTGTAACCATAAGCTTTAGTGGGTTCGTTGTTGTCGGTGTTTGCCTGACCTCCATCAGCAGCACCTCACGGATTGGTCGAAGGAGCTTGTCCAATCAAGGTGGTAAACGTTTTCTTGCCACTCAGCAAATCCCAAAACCCGCGTCCCGCTCACCACACAAGGGTTCTTTCTGACGTGTCGCTGCTTGTGCTTCGACATATTTGGGTCTCGATGATCGCGACGAAGACTGACGAAATATGCCCGCCAGCCAAGTGCTCAACGTGTAACAACTGACACGTCAAGTTCCGTGAACCTCACGTCTGCAGCGCAAAGCCTTCACGCCGTGGCAAGATAGGAGGTTCACCACACTAACCCAAGCCATCACGTTGGTTCCATTCGTCTCTCCCATTGGTTGCGAACGTCTGCTCGTCTTACCGAACCTCCAAACAAAAATGCCCTGGCAAACAAGAGACTGGTTTCGAGCCTGAACTTGCCGAGGCTTTAGTACAGGCTGGTTCTCCGTTCGAACCTCCCTTGGAAATTCCGTATGGCAAGCTCGGTTCATCGCCTTTGGCTTCCTGCGGTTGAACTTTCACCGTACCATATCGTTCTCGTTTTTATCGTAACCCGCTTAACCGCCTCATATACCTGGTTTTCGAAGACTTTCGAGTGCAGCGCACATGTCCATCAGCGGCTTCTTGCGTTCGGCTATTTCATAACGCAGCCGCCATTGCTTCCCCCAATCATGCGAGTATGTACGCACGCACACAACTCTAGTCCACTTCCCCAGCAGCCAACTTCACGGGAGGAATGACAATCAAACGGCGTGGATTGAACCTTTGGCTGCTACAAAGTGTAGTGCTCCGAACTGGCGATATATTTCGTAAGCCAGTTTCGGGTTTCGTCGTTTGTTGCTTCCAGCCGCGAGCCTTCGGGCTAGCCTAGCTTTTGGCGATTCTATTCAGACTACTTATCGTGTATATATATGATACAAAACATTTTACGTGTCGCAAAATAGTATAGCCGCCATGTTGTTGGTACACGTGGCAGAGAGCGGTAGGTCGTTCGAGCTGCACTGCAGCGCGGACACGCCAGTAGATTCCGTCTGCGATACTCTCGCCTCCCTAACCGCCATACCTCCTCAGGACCAGCTCCTAATCTGCCGCGACGTGCGCCTCGAGCCCGGACGGCAACTCGGGGCGTATCAGCTTCCATATGCTGACGTGGACAATAGCAGCCATGACGCAGCAGGCGCGGTCGACGCGCACTCTCGTTCCCCATCTCACGGACACTCCCTCCCGGTCTTTCTTTTCAACAAGATGCGCCTTCTTCCGAAATCTCTACCCCCCGCGTTAGAAGAAATCGAGGAGATAACTGTACCAGAAGTTATTATAACGGTGGGTGAACCTGGCGGCGAGCCGTTACATCCGTTAGACCGGTCGGGTAACCCGCTCCTCCGAGCCATCCCGTCGTACGAACGACAGTTTCGTCAGGATCTGTTACAGGCTCAGGCGTATCTCGCCGCCAGCCAATCGCGTTTCGACACGTGTCGGCGTCTCCTACAGGAGCAGCACACGCAGGCAGAGGCCATCCGTTCCGGATCCGCCAGTATGGAGGCGATGGCCCTCCATATAGTCACATCGTTCGCGGATTTTCAGGCCACGTATAAGCAGCAGCACAGCCGTCACGAGCTCCTTCTGCGAACCTTCCACAGAAACCTCCGCGCGTTGCATTCTTGTCGTTTACTGGCGCCCGTCCAGGCGGCAACCGGGTGGCAGAGCCTCGTGCAGCTGGCCAGGGAGCCGCGGCTGCAGCAGGCGTTCTTGGAGTGCCACGTGGCGCACGCTCAGATGGCCACGAAGGTCGCTGAGCTGGAGCAGCAGTTTCAAGACACGCGGGCGGGAATCGAGGAGCTGATAGGCGGTGGCGGGGGAGGGGGAAGCGGAGAAACTGCAGTCCGCGGACCCGCGGTTGACGCTGCTACAGGGGCCGCGGGCGCAACCGCAGGCGCGGGCGCGGAAGGGCGGAGGAGGGAGGCGGAGGTGGTGCGGGAGGTGGAGGGGATTGTGGAGGAGGGGCATCGGCTGCTGGAGGAGCAAGAAGTCATTCTTGGCGTCCTGGGGTGAGTTGGAAACTGCCTCCCTGGGGATGTTCTGCGTTCTTCCCCTGGGTGATCGTCGGTAATCTGGGGTGAGTTGAACTGCCCCCCTGGGTTGAGCTGAGTTGCGTCTCTAGCATTTTTTAGTAATTGTGAGTGTTAGTGAGAGGGGGCGGGGCAGGGAAGGGAGGTGGAGGGGATGGTGGAGGAGGGTCACCGGCTGCTGGAGGAGCAAGAAGTCATTCTTGGCGTTCTCGGTGAGCTGAGATATGGGTTGAGCCGAGTCTTGGTGAATTGAGTTGCCTCTAGCACTCTTTATTCATTGTGAGAATCACTGAGTGAGGGCAGGATGAGGAGGGAAGAGAAGGAAGCAGTCACTCATGCGCCACACTTCCCCTCCATGTCCTTCCCCCTCACCCCTCCCTTCATCTCCCTTCAACTCCTTTCCCTTCCCCTCCATCCATTGCCCTTCCTTCTCCTTTCCTCCCCCTCAGCAAGGACCTTAACACAGAAGGGCAGCTATTTCACAACTGCACTCTCACTCATGCGCCACAACTTCCCTCCAGTGTGCTTCTTCCTTTCGCCTCTCTTCCCCTTCCCCTCCTCTGCTACCCTCCCCTTCTATTTCTCCCCCAGCAAGGATCTCAACACAGTGAGGCAGCTATTACACGATTGCACTCTCCCATGCGCCACAACTACTAATTCTGTCTTCCTCCTCCCTTACCGTCCCTCGTTTCCCCCCCTTCCTTCCTCTCCCTCCTTCTCCTCCTAACAGCAAGGATCTCAACACAGTGAGGCAGCTATTACACGATTGCACTCTCTCAGTCACCCACTCCTCCTCTTCCTCCTCCCCCTCCTTCTCCCCCTCCGCCTCCCCTTCCCGCCACCTCCCCCCTCCCTCCCCCTCCTCCTCCCCTTCCTCCTCCTCCTCCACCTCCTCCTCCTCCTCCCCCCTCCTCCAACCAATCGAAGCCGTTGCCGCCCTAGATCCAATCTGCACCGTCCATTCCTCCTCCCTCCTCCCGCGAATCTCAGCCATCGATTCGCACCTGGCGGCTCTCGTCCAATCAGCGCGCGCCAGCAAGATCGCGATGACGAATCTCGTCCACACGCGCATGCAGGCCGTTGCCAGGTGGCAGTCCCGGGTTCGCGGGTTTCGAAACCGACTGCACGCGTTCCGAGAAGCCATTTCCCGCCAAGACGCGCTTTTCTCGCTCCTCTCCTCCGCCCGGGCTTTAAGAGGGGCGTACGCGGATTGTTTAGGGGAAATTGCCCGGAGAAAAGGGTTCGGGATGGGGTATATGAGCAGGGCACAGCAGGTAGCAGAGGAGATGGCGAGAGTGAGAGAAGAGGAGGTGGGGAGGAGGGAGAGGTTTTGGCAGCGGCAGGGAGAGTTAGGGTTGGTGCCTCGGGTGGTGATAGAAGGGATGGGGTTGGGACAGGGGAGTGTGCCTAGTGTGTGTACTGTGAGTGTAGCGCCATTTGATGAAGGGTTGGTGAGTGTGGGGGAGGGGGATTTGCCTGTGTGGGGAGAGGAGGGGGAAGGGGAGGGCGGAGAGGGGGAAGGGGACGGGGAGGAGGGGATGGTGTGGGAGGAGGGTGGGGGAGGGGCAGGGGGAGATGGAGGGGGAAGGGGAGGGGGAGCGGGGGAGGGGGTGTTGGGGAGGTTGGAGCGAGAGGGGCAGGGGGAGGGGCTGGGCGCGGGAGGGAAGGGGAGGAGGAGAGGGAGTGTTGGGGGGGAGAGCATGTGGGGGGGGAGTGCATTGACTGGCCACTGGAGTGCGCTTGCTAGTGATTCTAAAACAGGGGCGAATATCAATAGCAGTATCGCACATTACTATAACGAGGATGACACTGCTGGCAGCAGCACCTTCCCCTCCCACCATCACCACCACCACCACCACCACCACCGGCAGCAACACCATGCTGACGTGGACGATGAGGACGCTGATGTCAGCCATTCGAACGATGACGTGGCGGGCGGCAGAAGCGCGGAGGAGCTGGCAGTAGATAACATGCGACTCAGGGCGGAGCTGATTGCGCTCAGAGTGCTGGGCGCAGCTGGGGGAGGGTTATCTGGGGCAGGCTCGTCTGGGGGAGGTTTATCTGGGGTGGGGTGTGCTGCAGTTGAAGGTGCATGTGGTGGGGAGGGAGGGGGAGGAGGGGGACACGTGGCAGAGGAATGGCAGCAGTTGGTGCAGGCTCTGCAGCTGAAGGAGCAGGTGGTGCGGCACGTCCAGGTGGCGCTGCGTGATAGGCAGACGCAGGTGGAGGCGTACGAGCGGCGAATCAGAGAGCTGGAAGCGATGCTGGGCGATATGAGCCGAGAAACTTCCAGAGATATTTCCAGAGATTTTTCGGGAGATATGGGTGGAGACAAGGCCGACGTACGGACGAGTGACACAGCCATCGAGGAGGAGGGCCAGGAGCGCAGAGAGCACATGGAGGAGGGGAGGAGCATGGGGGAGAGAGAAAATCAGGAGGGAGAGAGTGAGGAGGAGAGGAAGGGAGAAGAGGGAGGGAGGAGAGAGGTGGCAGGTGTGCAAGAGGAGCTGCAAGCAGCATTGAGTGAGCTGCAGTCATTGCAATCGAAGCTTACAGCGACAGAATCGCAGCTATCCGCAGCGCAATCAAATCTGTCCGCAGGAGAATCAAATCTGGCCACCGTCCAATCGAAGCTCACCGCGGCGGAAGCCAGGCTGGCAGCCGCCGAATCCCAGCTGGCGGAGGCCCGCGATGAGTCAGCGCGACTCGAGGCTTTGCTAAGCGAACGCAGCGCTGAGCTGGACGCTCGTACTGTAGATATTAATAAAATTACTGTAGATTATAATGCCTGTAAAGAGGATCTGAGTCTGTGTATAGTGGAGCGTGAGCGAAATCAGAGCCAGTTAGAGATGCTGCAGCAGGAGTTGGATCAGGTGAGTCAGCAGCAGAGGCGTGAGGCTGCCAGGGTGGCGGATCTCGAAGCTGACGTGGCACAGAAGGATGCGGAGCTGGCGACGCTGGCCGCTGACCTGGCGGCTGCTGAGGTGGCGGCTGGAAGGCTTGCTGAGCTGGAGGAGAAGGCCGGTGGGCCGGTGCAGCTGCAGCAGCTGGTGATGGGGAGGTGGGGAGCGGTGGAGAGGAGTGGAGTAGAAGGGGCAAGATCAGAAACGGGAGGTGCTTGGGAAAGGAAGGATGGTTCAACAGCTGGTTCGGAAGCTGGTGCGAGATTGGGTCAGCAGGGCAGTGACGTGGCGAGACACGTGGCAGCAGTGGAGGAGTCCTCTGCCACGTCACCCAGGCAGGGCAGTGACGTGGCAAGACAGGTGGCAGCGTTGGAGGAGGCGCTGCGGAGGAAAACCGCCATGCTGGCGGAGTGCCAGCTCAACTGCGCCCACCTGGAGAACAGGCTGCACGAGGCTCGGAGCGAGGCTCGGAACGAGGCTCGGCGGAGCGAAGCGAGGTCCGACGCACGGAGTGAGGAGAGGAGCGATGCAAGTGCGCCTAGAAGCAATGAGGTTGCAGCAGAGTGGCGCATTGAGGTAGAAGAGTGGCAGCGCAAGTGCGCGGATTTAGAGGCTCGGCTGCACGAGGCGAGGAGCGAGGCACATGCCTTCAAAAGCGTGGAACTAGCAGAGTGGCAGCGCAAGTGCGCGGATCTAGAGACCCGACTGCACGAGGCGAGGAGCGAGGCGCGCACGATGCGCTGCGCTGCGGACAGGCGGGCGGCGGAGAGCGGAGGGTTGCGGGCGGCAGCGGTGCGACTGAGAGGGCTCATGGAGAGGATCAACCGGTGCCTTCAAGCCAACAGCCTTGGGGGTGTCGTTGAGGGGCTTAGTGGCTTAGCTGACTCCCTTGGAGAGGCTACGGGTGCAGCTGCTGCTGCTGCTACTCCTGCTCTTCCTGCTGGTGTTGCTGCTGGGGGCTCTTCTTTTGACCTGAGCAGGAGTGCTGTTCTTGCTACCAGCAGCTTTGCTACGGGCAGCACTGCTAGTGGTATGAGCAGCAGTGCCGCTGCCCCTGCTGCTGCCCCCGCTCCTGGAGCTGTAGCATCTGCAACTGCTGCTGCTGTCCCAGCGGCAGAGGAGTGGGTGGTGGCGGCAGTGAGGGCGATAGCGGTGGGTGTGGGGCGGGTGGTGGAGCGTGGGCGCAGAGCAGAGGGGGATGCGCACCGCCTGGCTCGGCAGCTGCAGCGCACGTCTGATGCCCTTGTGGATATGTCTTCAAAGCATGAGCTTGTCAAACAGGTGAGGAATGACCAGGTGAGGGGTGTTGTTTTGGCTGGTAACCAACAGAGCAGAGGGGGGACGCACGCACACCGCCTGGCACGGCAGCTGCAGAGGATGTCAGACTCGGACGTGCTCGTTGATATGTCATGTCATCCGAACATGGCGACTTTTGAGTCGACCAAAGGTCACCTCGTTACCATGGCACACGACACAGAGGACGTCAGACTCAGACGCGCTCGTTGATATGTGATCCGAACATGGGCTGGTGGGACAGGTGAGGTGAAGAATGACAAGGGGGGGGGGGGAGGGGTGATGGTTGTTGTGCTGGCTTGTTGTCATTCAACAGGTGAAGGGACTCGCTGCGCCTCGCCATGTAGCTGCAGAAACGCCAGGCGCGCTCGCAACATACCTCGCAGCGCCTCGCAATGTTTTTTGAGAATTACGTGAAGGGACTCGCAACGCAAAAAAACATACCTCGCAATGTAGCTGCAGAAAACGCCAGGCGCGCTCGTTGATATGTCATTCAAACATGAGCTGGTGAAACAGGTGACGGGTGGGGATGAAACTGGTGAGGGTTGCTATGGTGGGTTGTCGTCAACAGGTGAAGGCACGCCCTGATGGGAGGGCCGGTGAGAGTATGAGGGGTGTTATTCAGCTGCAGGGAACGTCTAGTTTTGAGGTCCCTCAAAACGAGGGGTGTTATTCAATTGCAAGGAATGTCAGTCACGTTGGTAGCAATGCCCTTTGCTCCACTTAGTCCTGCCTCCTACCATGGTCAAACCTCACCATCATGCCTCTCTCTCGTCCTCCTCCTTTTCTAACAGATTGCCCGTGAGAGGATAGCCTTCACTCGCTTCCACACGCACGACATTGCTGCCTTTCTGCCCGTGGGGAGGGTTGGCTGCCATTAGCGTGCCATCTGCTCTGCTCGGTTGCAACTCTCAGCTTCGTTGCTCCTTGTCTCTCCCTTCTTCCTGTGACTTTTACCAACAGATCGCGCGTGAGAGGATAGCCTTCACCCGTTTCCACACGCACGACATTGCTGCCTTTGTTCTTTGCGCCCTCTGCCCCAGTTCTAACCCCCCTCCCCCTCCTTCCCACCTTCCCTTTTAACAGATCGCACGTGAGAGGATAGCGTTTACCCGCTTCCACACGCACGATATTGCTGCCTTTGTCCCTGTGGGGAGGGGGGCTTTCCACTACCGCGCCCTGTGCTCGCCCGATGCCGCTGCTGTGCCGCTTTTCCTCTCCCCTCACTCCCTTGCGCTCTTCCTGCAACAGCAGCAGCTGCAGCAGCATGGGGGGCAGCAGGGACAGCAGGGGCAGCAGAGGCTGCAGGGGCAGCAAGGGCAGCAGGTGCAGCAAGGGCAGGGGGAGGGGGATGAGCAGCAGCAACAGGGGCAGGGACAGGGGCAGGGGCAGGGGCAGGGGCAAAGGCATTGTGATATGCTGTACCCTGTGATTGTGGGTCGCATTGTGCACATCGAACGCAAGATTGCTGCGGCTGAAAGCACTCCCCTCAACACTGCCACTGCTGTTGCTGATGATGCCATTGATGGTGGTGGTGCTGGCTCCAGTGTTACAGTCGGCAGTGCTGCTGCTGGTGCTGCCAATGCCACTGATGCTGCTGCTGATGCTAGTGTCAGAAGCAGTAGGGGTAGTAGCGCCAGCAGTGCAACCATCTCCTGCCCGTATGGTTTGCCTCCTGGTGCCCCCTATGCTGTGGTAACCATCGCAATGCTGCCTGCTGCCTCTTCTTCTCTCTCAACTTCCACACCTCTTGCCGTTCGTGCTGCTACCACTGCTGCTGCTGCTGATACTGCTGCTTCCGCTGCTGCTGTTGCTACATCTGCTGCCACTGCTTCTGCTCCTGCAACTGCCGGCTCTGCTGCAGCTTTCACTGCCACTGCAGCTGCCACCGCTGCTGCTGCTTCCAGTACCAATACAGCCGCTACAGCCGCTACAGCCGCTACAGCCGCTACAGCTGCTGCAGCCGCTACAGCCGCTACAGCCGCTACAGCCGCTACAGCTGCTGCAGCTGCAGCGAGGGTTGCAGCAGTGGCTGCTGTTGCAGCAACCATGGGAGTCACATCAGGTGCAACAGATGCACCAGGGTTACCAGCAGCTGCACCAGATTCGGGCAGGGTTACCCTAGCCTCACCCTTGGTTAACACAGAATAAGGAAGCAAAACCCTGAAACCATCAATTCTTCAGTTGACCCAACAACCATGCGAGCAGCAGAATGAGTCTGGCTGGATGAGAGCTAGCATCACCATCAGCAACACAGCAGGTGTGCCTTGAGTGGCAGCTTTAGAGGTGCTTCAGGAAATGCCTGGAGTGGCAGGGCCCGTGGAGGATCCAGGGTTGTTTGAAGAGTTTTGTGAGCTTGGAGCAAGTCCTGTTAGCACCAGTATTCTAGCAGCAGCAGAATGAGTTTCACGTCGCGGGACGAGAGCTAGCATCAGCAACAGCAGCGTGCCTGGAGTGGCAGCTTTTGAAGAGCTTTAAAAGATGACCGGCAGCTTCTGAAGGCGCCTCAACGAATGGACGGAGTGGCAGGTCTCGTGGAGGAGGGCCCAGTATCGATCGGAGAGTGCATTGTGGACTTTGATAGAGCCAATTCGGCGAGCACCAGTTTGCCAGCAGCACCACCACCAGCAGGCAGCAGCTGCAGCAGCAGCAGCAGCAGCACCACCAGCAGCAGCAGCGGCTGCTGCTACAGCAGCAGCAGCACCACCACCACCAGCAGCGGCTGCTGCTACAGCAGCAGCAGCACCACCACCACCACCAGCAGCAGCGGCTGCTGCTACAGCAGCAGCACCACCACCACCACCAGCAGCAGCGGCTGCTGCTACAGCAGCAGCAGCACCACCATCACCACCAGCAGCAGCGGCTGCTGCTACAGCAGCAGCAGCACCACCACCACCAGCAGCGGCTGCTGCTACAGCAGCAGCAGCAGCACCACCACCACCACCAGCAGCGGCTGTTGCTACAGCAGTAGCGCGGGAGCACGAGGGAAGTTTGGGAGATGGGTCATGTGCGTCGGCTGTTGCATGTATGCTGCTTGCATATGGTGCGGTGCAGTGCGGTGCTGTGCTCTGCGGGGTGCTCTGCGGCGCAGGACGTAGTGTGGCAGACAGTGCGATGTGGCAGGCTTGAGTTAGTGCCTCTTCAGGATATGTAGCAGGGAATTGAGCTGTTATATATCGGACCTGGTGCTCTCTGGTAGCAACACTGGTAATTGTCTGGAAAATGCTTACTTTGGTGGTATGTATGGTGCTGTACAGAAGTTTGGTATGGTTCAATGTGGTTCTTCCGTGAGTCAAACCGAGTAATATTCATGTGCACCACCGTATGCCAGCAACACGCGATGCATTTGAAAATGGCATTGGAAAGGAGCCAGTTGTGCACCACGAATCTGTGGATTGAATAACTATCCTAAACATACGAGTGCGGAAATATACACGATAAAGAATAAATGGGATGATTCCATCGAGTACGAGAGATATGTTACAAAGAAAATGCTACCCGTCGCATGAATAAATTTATTAAGCCATGCGCTATTCTTTTGCTGTTTTAGCGAGCTCCTTCAGCTTGGTGTAGATCTCATCCACTGTTTCCCTCTTGTACTCCGTGCCCGCAAAAGGAAGGTGCTTGGAAGCAACCTGGCGGTCAAAGTAGAAGGCCCCGTTGACCAGCTTTGAGTTGGGTTGACTCGCCAGCCACACTATGGTGTCTGCCCCCTCCTCTGGCCTTCTCAGAGAGGACTTGAATCTGGATTAGGAGGGAGGGATGGGCAAGAGGAAGAATTGGGTTGACAGTCAAATCGAATTGGGTTGACTCGCCAGCCACACTATCATGTCTGCCCCCTCCCCTGGCCTTCTCAAAGAAGACTTGAACCTGGAGGAAAAAGGAGGTGGGGGTGGGGTGGGAGAGGGAGGCGAGGCAGAAGTGAGTGCCTTCGAAGATAGAGCGGGATGGAAGGGGGTGAGAGAGGGGAAGATGGTACAAGAATGTGCAGAGCAGAGCAATCCAGCCACAGCCACACTGTGCAAGGTGCTCCTGAAAAATTAAAGTAGCAGCATCGCTGCAGTTTTTTGTCCCCTCCTCTGGCCTTGATTTTGCAGGGAGTTTTTTAGAGTTCTCCAAAGCATGACCCATGCATGCACGCATGAGAGGCACACATGCAGCACACGCACACAGGGTACTGATTCTAGGGCTTACGTGCTGCAGAATCCGGGCATGCTGGTTTGAAGAACGCACATACGCACGACAGAAACACATGCATTGCTGGGGAATGCTGGGCTCACGTGTTGTAGAATCCGGGCATGCTGGTTTGAAGGACGGCCGTGTCGACCCAACCCGGGTGCATGGAATAGAACTCTATTCCCGGCTGTACCCCATATAGCTCCGCCCACTTCTCTGTTAGAGCCACCTGCAGGCGGTGCATGAACGGGGACCGGGAATAGAGTTCTATTCCATGAATGGAGGCTGGATGAACAGGGACCGGTACGTAAAAAAGAATGAATCTCACCCAAACTAGCTATATCTCATCATATAGCTCCTCGCACCAAACACCTTCCCAGATCTCCACCCTTTCCCCTTCCCCCTTTCTCAATCCCACCCTCACACACACCTGCACTCGCTTGTTGCGAGCGTATGCATCAGTCCCATCAAACTTGGTTTCTTCCATTTGCAGATCGGTGCTGAGCGGTTGAGTGAGAATCCCCCCCGTGGCCACTGTGATGACTTTTGCTTCGGGGGCTGCCCGCTGCAGCAGGGGCAGCAGGGCTTCGGTCAGAACAAAAGTTCCGAGCACGTTCACTGCAAAGTTGAGCTCAAACCTGGAAGGGGATTATTAAGGGTGGAAGGAGAGGAGGCAAGAGGGAAGAGGCAGGAGGGAAGAGGCAGGAGGGAAGAGGCAGGAGGGAAGAGGACAGGGGAAAGAGAATAGGGAAGACGACAACCTCATTCGCTCACCAGCCCGGTTTGAGTGATTTGAATGTCTCCATTACAGCCACTCCCACAGTACTCGCTCGCTCTCACACTCACCCATCAGGCGACAACTTCTTTTCATGCTCCATGATCCTCACAGCATCCTCCATTAATTGTTCCCATTACAGCCACTCCCACAGTACTCGCTCGCTCTCACACTCACCCATCAGGCGACAACTTCTTTTCATGCTCCATGATCCTCACAGCATCCTCCATTAATTGTTCCCATTACAGCCACTCCCATAGTACTCGCTCGCTCTCACACTCACCCATCAGGCGACAACTTCTTTTCATGCTCCATGATCCTCACAGCATCCTCCATTAATTGTTCCCATTACAGCCACTCCCACAGTACTCGCTCGCTCTCACACTCACCCATCAGGCGACATCTTCTTTTCATGCTCCATAATTCCAGCGTTGTTCACCAGCACGTGGATGGGCGTGTCTAGTCCCGCTAGGCGATCAGCCAGGGAGCGCACTTGAGCGAGCGAGGAGAGGTCGCACAGCTGGTGGGTAGGAAGGGGGGGGGCAGGGGGGGACGGGAAGGGAGGGGGGGGAAGCAGGGGTGCACAAGGAGCGTCTGAGTCAACCCCAGCGTTGTTCACCAGCACGTGGATGGGCGTGCAGAGGAAGAGACGGAGAAAGGCGAGTGGAGAGGTTAGGAAAGGCAGGGAGGAGGGAGGGAGAGGCAGAACGAAAACGCCTGGTCTAGAAGACCTAACTCTTTAGCCGCTTGGAGGAAGAAAAAAGTTGAACACTTTATGATCTCCGAGCCTCACCTGAAGAAACACCTGGTCGTTTCCTGTTTGGGCGGCAATCTCAGTGGCTGCTGCCGCCCCTCTGGCCTCGTTGCGACACACTATGTGCACTGTCGCTCCCCTGGGGGTTCGGGAGGAAGGAAAGGGAGGTTTGGGGAATGGGGGTTGAGAGGGTGAGGAAGAGGGCAGGATGAAGGCAGAATAAAGCAAGGGAGAGGCTGCTGCCGCCCCTCTGGCCTCGTTGCGACACACTATGTGTACCATCGCTCCCCTGGGGTTTTGGGAAAACCGTGGGGAGGGGAGGGGGAGAGGAAGAGCTCGGGAATGAGGAAGCGTAAATAGTGTCGCCCAGAAGAGGATTGGGGAAAGAATGGGGGGTTGTGTGGAGAGGGGGAAGAGCGGAAAAAGGAGGAGAAGCCTCGTCTCTCACTTTTCCTCCTCCCTCCCTTAGATGCGCCATCCACTCACCTCTGCGCCACCCACTCACCTCTGCGCCATGGCAGTAGCAGCGGCGCGACCAATGCCCTGATTCCCCCCCGTCACCACGCACACGCGCCCCTGCATGTCCCGCCGCCCCCGCGCGTCCGCTGGTACAGGCTCCGCAGCAGCCGCACCGCCATGCCGAACCTCAGCTTCGGCATTCCTAGCCTCGTCGGGCCGCCGAGCGTCCGAAGTGACACCCGCTGTGGCCGCCTGATTATCTGCATCTTCAAACGACTTGGCGTGTTTCCTGGTGGGGATGAGCGCAGGGAAAGCGCGCGCGGAACGTTGACAGGATACGTATTCAATGAAATTGAGGGTGACGACACGGCGGGCAAGAGGTGACGACGCGGGGGGCCTAGTAGAGGCGACGACACGGGGGTGAGGAGCAAGGGGAGGGATGGAGATCGTACAGGAAGGCGCTTCGGGTGAAGTTGGCGTTGCCGTACGCGAGGAAGAGCGCGTTGCGCAGGACCTACGCGGAAAAGAACAGGCGCGCGGGTGCGACGAGACGGGAGTGAGGAACAAAGGGAAAGCACTTAGGTGAAGTTGGCGCTGCGATTTTTGAGGCGCGATGAACAACGCGTTGCGCAGGACCTGAGAGGAATGGACGGCCGCGCGGGAGGCGGATAACGATTGAAGTAAAACGCGACGTTTGAATTAGTACTGACTACGGTAGGACGACGAAGCTGCAGCAGCGAGCTTTTTGCATGGAAATCGAGGAGCACGAACCTGCATGATGGCGCGAGGATAAGAGCGGAATAAGGATGATCCGAAACGCTTAGAGGGACGAAATATGCCGAGGGACTAAGATAGCGAGCGACAGAGCGCTAATACAGAACAATCGAAGCGGCACAATAAGAACGTGAATCCGAGTATTCGCATTTGACGGCATTACTACCTGAGGAAAAGGCAGTAATCGTGCTCACGCCTGGAAAAGGTAGGAAGCTTTCGCTCGATATGAAATTTCCTGGAACGTAGTCGGTCACGAAAGATCGAAGGACGTCCTTCGCCCACGTCAGCAGACTCGCCTTCTCTTGCGTGGTCTCTAGGTCGAGATACAGATGCGAAAGTTGAGGAATCTGCAGTGGTTTTCGCTTACTTTCGTCTATTAAGAAATGGCATCGCAGAACGCTGGAGGGTAAGCGTTGCGTTACAACTGCTCCGGTTGTTGCGAAGGTCGCGAAGATGAAAGAGCGGGTCTGACGTCAACAAGGTGTGGCACGGGAGGACCACTGACCCGAGAGTGACGTGGTGCGGCTGCCTTCTCTACATGCTCCACTCTTGTGGTCCATGTGGCATTCGACCAACACTCTGTCTACACGTGGAGAGTACACGCTGAAAAGGCAACTATAATTGGTACAGTGAAAAATGCAAACCAGTAGGCATAGGCCCCTCGCTCACTTGGCCACACGTGTCCGACAGTTCGCGAACACTTGTGCCAATGAGAGAAGCGGTTTCTTCGGGCCCCTCTCTTCCCAAGCCTACATCCCGCGGTGTTTCAAATCACGCCTGGTTACCAGGCCAGACCACCCAATTTCGTTTGCACCCAAACCCAACCTCCCGTCGCCGAAATTCTCGAGGCGACTCGGTCATAATCGCGGTCCGAGAACCAAAATGGATCAGTTTGGGTTGGGAATGTGGTTTGCTTGCACCCCTCCAACCCAACCAAACCTCCTCCAAAATCACTCCTAGCTGCACCAGCGAAAAACCCGTCATGAGTCCGCATCGTGTTTTTCGCTCCTAAGCCTAAACCGGCTCGTGATCCACCTCCGTCGCCGCCTTATCCAGTCCTACGCCTCCTCAAGCCTTCTCATAAGGGCCATTCCGCAAAGGCAGCATAGACTTCATCACTATTCTTTTCCAGCTTGACAAGTCGCCCTGGATGCTCACACTTGCTCCAGAGCGTGATCTATCTTCCGACTGCTCCAATGAACGCCGTGGGCAGTAGTAGCTGTCTTAGCATTAGGCCGTTCCAGGACTCAGAGCCTCTCCTCGACATCCCAGGGCCTTATTACATGGCCGAGGACATTTTCTGTCTCATTCAGCAGCCTAGCAACGATCCCGACAGTGGAAATACGAGCTCTCACGCTGAGGCCGCTTTAAGACTAGAAACGTCTAGTTCCCCATCTCCTGAGAGTCAATCTCATCTTAGAATGTGCGGTTCGAGCAACGATCGAGGAATCAACGCACAGAAACCCCCTCAGCCCGCGGCGCGTGCCTCTGATGTCAACGCGGCGGGTAATACTGCCGTCCAGATGCCCCTGATCGCGCCAGGGAGCGTCAGCGCGGACATCCTCGCTAGTAACGTCCCTGATAACCTCGACGAGTCGTTATTTCTTCCTCATCCAACGCAGACCTCTGCTGGTGCGCTGGCTGTGATTGCTAACAATAACAATAACAATAATACTAACACTTTTGGCAGATCGTTTTCCATTTACGAGCCTGGCAAGGGCGACCAGTCCCTGCTGCTCCACCACGCGGATCCGACGTCCATCCCCGCTACAGGCGCGGAGCTCGTGCACTACCATCGCCCTTCTAATCGAAGCACTGCCGCCGCTGACGCCGCCGCCACGTTCGCCCCTGACTGCAAGCCAACGCCATGTGTCAACACGGCGGATTTCGCGAATTACCCAGCTCCGAGCCTCGCTGGCGCGTCCGGCGTGGCGGGAAGCGCGTACGCGGCCGTGAAAGCCGACGAGAATCCTCTCAGATTCGCGCCAACTCAGCAACATGAAGATCTGAACGTTGGCATGCAATCTCGGCAGCAGCCAGAACAAGGGATGCAATTTGACGGGGAAAATGCGCTGCAGAGGACGGGAGGGGAGGGAGGAAGAGGGTTGGGTTGCGACAATGTGGTAACCACTGAAGCAGCTCTCGCTTACGACGGTTTTTTCGCTTCTATGCTTGACGACATTGATTTCACACCTGCTGTTGTTGGGTCCGCGACAGGTTACCAGAATGTGGGGTTGAACCAGAACTCAAATGCGGGGGTTCTGGGTTCCGCGACGGAGTCTCGCGCACCAATTGGCTCCTATGATGTCTTCTCTCATCAGCCGCAGCAGTCATTACAGCAGCAGCAGCAGCAGCAGCAGCAGCCGCAGCCGCAGCCGCAGCAGGCGCAACTCGAGCCGCAGTTCCAGCAGCAATCGGCGCAGCCGCCGTTTGAGTGTAACACCAGCGGTAACCATCAGCAGAACGTCGCCACCGGTAACTTCGCTTACCATCGCGGCGACCAATCATCGCCACTAGGGTCTAACAACGGGTTTTCAACCCACGCTTCTCCGCCAAACGCGCAGCCCATCGCAGTTAACCCCGTCAAGCCCGCCGCCTATTCCGCAAGCGCCGGCGCGGGTAACATCCAATTCGCACAATCCTCGTACGAATCGCCGCAGCCAACCCTTCCGCCGCCCGCGCTCCCGCCTAGCCATCCCGCCGGTCCTTCCCAGCCGCCCGCGGTCACCTTTTACGGCGCTTCTGCTGTGGCAGGCGGGTACTGCGGAGATTACGGCGCGCCTCACGTGCCCCCCTGCGCGGGCCTTCCGCTTCCGCAACCCGCGTCCCCGCTCGTCGTCTCCCCCCCTTCTTCCTCTCCATCTTTTCCCGCTCCACATCCCCCTCCCCGTTCCCTTCCCCCGCCTCCGCAAGCGGAATGGCCGGCGCAGGTTCTAGCCCAGCCGCCGCAGCCGCCGCAGCCGCAGCAGCAGAATCAGCCGAACGTGTGGCAACCGCAGCCGCAGCCGCAGCCGCAGCAGCGGGTGCAGCAGGTGCAAGAGCAGGGGTGGTCGCAGGATGCGTCGCAGCAACACCTGAAGCGAGCGCGTGGAGATGCTTATACAGCGTACGAACGCCAAGGGAATGTGGTGATCCAAGCTGACGTGTCACAAAGCCAGAGGGGCCCTGCTGCCCACGTGGCACAGGCAGGAGGTGGCGGACATGGGGGATGGGGTGCCTCTACTCTCGGTACAATCACACCCGTTAAAAGGGACTTTTCAGGGGCCATGATTCCACAGCAGCAGCAGCAACAGCAGGGGTTGCCGCAGCCACGTCAGCAACACGTTCTGCCGAGTCAGCAGGGGTACTTGCAGCAGCAGCAGCAGCAAATGCAGTATCGCCAGCAACAGCAGCTACAACAGCAGCAGCAGCACCACTCTTACCAGCAGCAGCGTTATCAGCAGCAGTCTTACCAGCAACAACAGCAACATCAGCAGCAGCAGCAGGCACACAGCAGCTTCTACGCAGCTCCAGTCCCTCGGTCTGCCCCCCCACCCTCCACTCCCCCACCCATGCGCGTTTCTCTCCCCCCTCCTCCCCCCACCCCCATTGGCATTCTTCCTCCTTTCTCCCCTGCTGTGGCTGCTTCTGCTACAACTGCTGGTGCTTCCATCGTTGGCGGTTCCATTGCTGTTGCTGGTGGGTCTCCCGCTGCTAGGGCTGCTGCTGGTAGCAACGGTGGTGGCGGTGTCGGTGGTGGTAGTGACGATGGTACAGAGGCAGCAGAAGGGATGGACGAGGATGGGCAGGGAAACGCTACCCAGGACTCAGAACAACAGGTAGACCTTCTTTCTCTCCATTCATTTTTGTTTTGATTAGTTTGTTTGCTTTCTTTCTGGCAATCTCTGTTCCTTTTGCCACGCCTGCTCCGTGTATGCATCCTCTCCGTCCCCCCCATTTCATCAACCCGAGAACTCAGCTGCCTCGCGACTCATCCAGTTCTCTTGCTCATTCCGCCTGCCCCTCACCCCTCACCTCTTAAACAGGACGAGCCTATCCGGCGCAAGGGTCCGCGCACCAAGTTCTCCAAGGAGGCAGTCGACTGCCTCAACTCGTGGTTCCTCTCACACCTCCACCACCCCTACCCCACCGAGGTACTACCCACCGCTACCCTTCCCTACCCTACCCAACCCTACTCCACCAACGTACCATCGAACTGCACCCCACCAAGGCATCACCCACCCACTCCTGTCCCACCGAGGCACCACCCAGTCCCACCCCACCAATTTACGACCCATCAGCACCGCACTGAGGTACCATTGATCCCTCTATCTCATCCTACTGTGTTGCTGGCCTTTGTTTCTCATCCAACCTATTCCTGCCTCTCCCCCCCCACCCATCCCCCCCGTTTTCCTCTTCTTCCTTTCCTGTTTCCCCCAGAGGGAGAAGGCGGAGCTAGCAGCAAACTCGGGTCTGAGGGACACACAAGTCAACTGCTGCTGCAATTCTGAATTGACTAAAAAACCGTTCCCCAATCTTCCTCTACTCCCTGCTTCTTCCTCCCCTGTTTCCCCCACTGAACGAGCAGAGGGAGAAGGCGGAGCTAGCAGCAAACTCGGGTCTGAGGGACACGCAGGTCAACTGCTGGTTCATCAATGCACGGGTGAGTTGATATACCCGTTTTCAGCCATTTCATTACTGTGTTGTGCATGAGAGTATCATCTTTTGGTTCAGCTTCAGGCACTTCAGTGCATGAGCGAGTCGGCATGCCCGTTTTTAAGCAGTTCATCTCTGTGCATGGGTGAGTGAGTTGACTCACAGTGCGCCCACCCACTCTTTCCCGTCACTCACAGTGCTTACTCTCCCCTCATGTTGACTCGCCCATCCTTGGTTGCAGATGAGGAGGTGGAGGAGGCAGAAGGACAAGTGGCAGGGCAAGCAGGGAGGGACGCCTGGTGGAGTGGGGGAGGGGAAGGGGAGGGAAGGCGGGGACGGAGGAGACGACAAGGGGGATGGCAGCGGCTCGAGTGGTCGGCATGGGGATGGGAACGTGGTGGTAAGTGGATGGATGAAACATGGACGGATGCAGCACCATGTTAACATCATTCTTTACCTTCTCGCTTTCCATTTCCCCCGTTAGACCCACCTTTCCACTTCTGCCCTCAAAACTCCCATCTTCTCCATTTTCCCCATCAATTCCGTCTCAATTCCCCTCCTTTTCTCCCTTTTGAAGACCAATCTTCGCCCTGAACTAAACATTTTTCGCTCTGGACTAAAGATTTCCCCGTCCTCCCCTCTCCCCGTTCTGCGCAGGTCAGCAGGCATCCATCTCCAGTTATTAGCACACCACACCTCGTTACCAGCACGCCTCTCCCCGACCATATCAGCAGACACAACCAGCAGCATCAGCAGCAGCAGGGGGTGCCACGGCAGAAGCGCTATTCTCCCTCCCCTCTAGGCGGCAATACCAAGGGTGTGATGCTGAAGGCTGGGAGTGCTGCAGCTGGCTCTGCTGGCTATTTTCCTGCTACAGCTGCTGGTGCTGCTGGTGGTTCTGCTGGTGGTGGTAACCACATTGGTGCTGGTAACGTTTCTACCGCTGGTGAATTTGCTGAGCTGGCAGACGAGGAGGAGGAGTACCAGTTCGTTGACTCGGAAGACCCGCTTGACTCGGTTCTTCCCGCCCTGGCGCTGCTAAGGCTGCAGGTGAAGCGGTCTGAGCAGAAGGGGCAGAGACGACGGCTGCAGCAACATGGGGTGAGGAACAACAAGGGGCAGAAGCAGACGCAGAACCAGGTGCAGAAGCATAAGCAGAAGCAGAAGCAACAGGAGAAGGGGGGAGAAACGGGATACTTGAGGCTTCTTATCAAAGGTGGAAAAGAAGGGGGAATGGGGAAGGGAAGAGGTAACGAAGATGGTGAGGAGGAGGCAAAGGGGGACGAAGATGAGGAGGAGGTGGGCGGGGGGGAGACTGAGGCAGAGGAGGGGGCTGCTGATTTCAACGACAGGGAAAGCATAGAGGAGGAGAAGGGCGAGGGGGAGAGTGAGGAGGGTGAGGAGGGGGACAAGGAGGGGAGTAAGGAGGATGAGGAGGGGGATGAGGAAGGGAGTGAGGAAGAGAGTGAGGAGGGGAGTGAGGAGGAACAGCTGAAGGCGATGAGTCTGAGGGACGTGTACAGGCGGTGCTTCGGGGAGGAGGTGGTGCTGCGGAGGAGCTCGGATGAGGGCGATGGGCAGGGTGGGGGGCACGGGGGTGGCGCAGGGGCGGGTGGAAGAGGCGACGGACAGGGCAGCGTACAGGGAGGAGCGCAGCGGAATGGACAAGGCGTCGGCGATTCGGGCACAAAAGGAAAGGGCCCCGGGAATGAAGGAAGAGGGCAGCAGCAGCAGATGCAGCAGCAGCAGCAGCAGCAGCAACAACAGGGGTGTCAGTATGGGTTGAAGCGAGCTGCTGCGTCCAACTTCTGCAGCGTTGCTCCTGCTGGCGCTCGTGCTGCTGCTGCTGCAAATGCTTATTGCCCCGCTCCTGCCGTTGCTGCTGCTCCGGTTGACGCCACTCCTGCTGCTGCCACTAATGCTGCTACAAGTGGTTTGAACGATGCAGTGTTCGCATCTGGTGGTGACATTGGAGGGGTTGACTATATCGGAGGTCTGCTGGACATGATGAACGGCCTGGATGGGCTCGCAGAAATGGACGGACTGGATGGGCTTGACGGCTTGGAAGGGATCGACCTCATGGATGGGATGACTGGGTTGGGAGATTTCCAAGGCGTTGCAGAGCGGTTAGATGCTGAGATGGAGGGCAATGAAGGGGTTGAGGGACATCCATGTATACAGGAGGAGCAGTTGGTGGTAGTGCAAGGGGATTTTACTGAAGAGCCTCTGTCTATTGAGGCTCAGGAAGAGAATTACTTTTGTGATGAAGCGGATGATTACTACAGCGAGGATGAGGAGGGAGAGTTTCTCAGGGGAAATGGAGAAGGTGCTGGGAGGTATGATGTGACAGGGTATGACATGGCAGGCTATGACGTGGCAGCCTGTAGGAGCAATGGCACCCCTGCAAGTGGGGGAGGCAGCATGGGGGAACACATGGTTGGTGCCGTGCCAGCCATTTAGATGCTAGCCGTTTAGGAGAGATTTAGGAGATTAGTAGGAATAGGTAGCGTTAGGGGCTAGGTTCATACTGAAGGGGGAAGAGCTTGTACTTACAGTTAGGAATTTTAGAGGTAGTGTAGGGTCTTTGAAGGTGTGTGTGTAGCTATGCATTTATGTTATGCTTTGCTTTCAGCTAGGCTGCTATGATGTCTTCAAACAATCTGTTTTGGTTGTTTTGTTAAAAATATAAACCTGTTCGTAGAATAGTTCAGCTTCAGGCTCCCACCTGAAGAGACACCTCCTGTCCCTACCTCGTACCTGTGAGATTGTGTGTGTTGTGAAGCTGTCGTTTTGGCACGCATACCATACCATGTTTGGTGCGAATGCTGTTTTGGTGGAAGCTCTTGCGAAGCGAGGAGTGTGAATTCCTGCCTGGGGAAACGAGGGTCAGGTCGGAACGTGGTAAGGCTGAAAGGCGGAAACAGTCAGGCAACCTCGAGGGTTGCATTCTCAAATGATACCTAAAATGCTTAGAGGAAATCCATGTCAATATTCATACTTTACTCAGGCGGATTGAAGCTGCAGAGCGTCAACTACCGTATCAATGACAAAATCAGAAAATAGTATGAGGGGAAGAAGTACTACTACCATTTCTGCCTGTTCACGAGGAAATGGAAAGCGATTGAGAAAGGGAAGAGAGCACAAGCAGCACGAAAACATCTGAGGCTGAGGTATCACGATGCAAATTCAGGGTGTATGGTAATAGGAGAAAGGAAACATCAATGCGAAGAGAATGGTGGTGGGGAGGGGGTGGTAGTGAAGTGAATTTGTGCCAGGAAGAATCAGACAAGTGGAGTCAAGTTGACGCCATCCGAAATCCCAGGCATTGTGTTGAGAAATGAACTGAAGCATGCATCAAAGAGGCAAAACAGCGGAAGGGCGTTTGTGTCGCGCTTTTGCTCTCGCATTACTCGTGATTCGCTATTTGCTTTCGCGAAAGCCAGCGGTTTCATACCGAATGGAGAAAATCAATGCAGGGTGCTGTTTGTTTTCAAGTTTCAGCCTTTGGCCAGTACTCTGGAGCGAACTTGTAGGTGACACTTTGAGTCGCCTGGTTACACCTTGTCCCGCCGTTTCATTGGGAACGGTGGAATGCATCGAGTTCATGAATTGCAATTTCGAATGTTTTGTGGTGGCAGCGTGGTATCTGCGGTGTGAGGTAATTATCCTCGCCACGTGGACAGCCAGGTTCAGATCTCCCCACAGCTCGGCTCGCCTTGACTCACCCAGACAGGATGCCGACTTTTCAGGGTATGGGGGAAGTGTCTGGTGCCTGCGCGGCAAGAAACGTCGAACGCAGATTGAACCAATCACCATTCCATTCGCAACCCCCCGCCACTGGTAACGCCCGCTAAGATCGCCATCATGAGTCAGCCCAGCTAATCCTAGCCACTCATCTTCGACTGCCAAGCAGTAAGTGCATCTTACCGCTTCTGTAAACCAGCGCGGGAATTCTGAATCTTTCATGGCGGGCGGAGCCTGGAAGCTCTTTCCGCCAGCCGCAAGTCATCACTTTCTCCCCCTTCCCTTCACCACCGCAAACCCAAGCCAACCAGACTTGCTGCGCGGTTCGTCTCGTCATCATCCATCTCCCCACCCAACCAGGCGTTGCATATAAAGCCACCCATTGGCAAAATCTAAAGCCGCATTCGATTTGTCAGTAAATTACGTCTAGTCTTTTCGTCGCCATGGCTGCGTCTACCAGCATTGCCGCTGGCTCGTCTCTGAAGCTCGCAGCCAACTCATCGCTTGGCGCTAAGTCTTCGACTTTCCAGGAATTTTCCGAGGGCTCCATTAGACGCATCTCCCTCAAGAGCACCAATCCAGCAGTCAGCAAGGCACAGTCCCGTCAGAATGCCAATGGCAAGAACCGCATGATGGTTAAGGCCATGGCGCCGAACGCACTCGTCGACATCAACGCGGCTGATGAAGTCAAGTTCAAGGCGCTTGTCTCTCGTCGCGTCGTCTTCGATCATGCCGACTGGAAGGTAAGAAGCAATTCTCTTTGGCGCCACCCTCTTGACTTGTTCCTTCAATCCACACACATCGCTATCCATTCAATACACATGTTACCGCTCCTTTGTCTCACTCTACAAAGATGGGCCCTGTAGTTCACGTCAATGTGTCGATCGCTCCCGTCTCCCTCTTCGACCTGCTCTAGCTTCACCCTCTCTCCTTTCTCACCTAATTCACTCGTTCCGTTCCCCCATCCCTCTCCCTTCCCCCCCTCCTCCCTCCTTCGCCGCGCTCCCCCTCCCCGCTCCTTCCAGAAACACAAATCGAGTGGCCGTTACTTCAAGCACCTGCGCAGCATCCTGACCTCCAAGGTCATCGGCGCGCTTGGTCCTCCGGTGTCCGTGATGACTGGCATCGCGGCGGCGGTGGTGGGGTGGAACGAGATGGTTGTGATGAATATTCTGCCCGAGTGGGCTCCCGTGCTGCACATCTCCAACCTCCCCTTCAGCCTCACCGCGCCTGCTCTCTCCTTCCTCCTGGTTTTCCGCACCAATGCCAGCTACGGCCGTTTCGATGAGGTAAGCATGAGGACGATCTGGATCCCCTATTGATATATGCCATGTGGCTGGTGACTCAGATGTAGATTCTTTTTTCGGATTACTCTCCCACCATTCACACAATTCTGACTTTTTTTTCCTTTCTTTATTTCCTACGTGCGCTCTTCCCGCCTGCAGGCTCGCAAGATGTGGGGGCTCATGCTGAATCGCACGCGCGACATCACGCGACAGGCGCTGTCGTACATGGCGCGCGACCAGTACACGTACGAGTACCCCAAGCGCGCGCAGTTCATCCGCCACCTGCAGGCGTTCCCGCTCACCTACAAGCACCACTTCATCCAAGAGGGTTCGCTCGAGGAGGACCTCAGGGTAAGAAACTCTACTCTGTACGATACCCGCCGTAATTGCGACATTTATCAGTTAAGATTGGATATTGTCGTTCGATCTCGATTGCACAATTTTCCCCCCTTCATAATTTCGAATCAGGGTATTTCATTTTCACGTTGGTTAATCACTGTGTTTCCGTCTTGACTTCGCTCCCGTACCCTCGGCAGGATTTGACCAGTCTGACTGACGCGGAGATTGCGGGAGTGCTCAACGCCACCCACCGGCCCAACTACGTGCTTCAGATGATGTCGGAGTGCATGCGCTCGTGCACCATGGAGCCCGTCAACCGCCTCGCCATGGTATGCCTTCTTAGAGCTCTCAAACGTTTGAAATTATCAAGAATTGCCACGAACGAAACAAACCTTAGATTTTTTTTCCCCGTTGAGTTCCACAATGTGCAATACGTCACTACCATTATTCACTCAGTTATTCCACACACGGGAGTAGAGCATCACTGTAAGCTCTATCCTGGCCTAGGTCTCATTGAAGCATTTCGTCTGTGCTGCCTGTTCCCCGTGCTGCGATTCTCCAGGAGGCCAACTTCGCGACATTCGCGGATGACATCGGAGGCAGCGAGCGTCTCTTCAAGACGCCCATCCCGCTCTCCTACACGCGCCTCACCTCGCGCTTCCTCGTCCTCTACCACATGTTCCTGCCTTTCGCTCTGTGGGACCCCCTCGGCTGGCTCACCATCCCCGTGACTGCCACGTGTGCGGCCGTGTTCTTCTGTATTGAGGAGGTCGGTGTGCTCATCGAGAACCCCTTCCCAATTCTCGCTCTTGTCGTTATCTCCCAATCGGCGCGCAACAACGCCGGTGAGCTTGTTGCCCTGCATGAGGGCATCAGGAACCTTGTTGCTGAGGATGATCTCGAGATGAAGAATCTGTCCGCCCGCAAGCAGGAGGCGCTGTTGCAGACGCCTCAGTTTGTTGCTGAGCCCGAGCCTGAGTACTTGTCTGACTGGGATGAAGATGCCGCGGCTCTCGCCCCCATTCCTCCTCCTCCCCCACCAGCTCCTGTGACCCCTCTGGCTGGGCGCGGTCCTTACAGCGATTAAATGTTTAGTAGTTTGCAGCAATTGTCTTACCTTGATGTATTTTTCTTTTTGCCAGATATTGGTTGTAAAGCGCCTTGTACGTGAATAATTGATTTGAAATTGCGTCTAGAGTCAGTCGTTAATTGCACTCTTCTAGCATAAGCACGTTTCTGATAAACCATTTTGCCAGCTGCTTTGTCTGACGCACTATACCTCAGTCTGTCGAGATTGTATTACGATTATTTTAGGCGTCTGATCAGAATTTATGATACCGGGACAAATGTGATAGTGTCCCATACGTCCAACAGACGGAAGCTATGCGTTCCCAATGGCAAGCTCACAGACCTACTTGTACTAGCAATTGTGGGTGTTCCATTCCGCGACAAAGCCAAATAAGCTTGCTGCTTGGAATTTGAATTCAAGGTCCGATCCGAAGTCTGGGGTTCAAGAGAAGCTGAGCGAGGACCAGCTGAAGTTGCCCTATTTTGGTTCGCTTCCGCACGCTACACACAACAACAGCATCAGCATCACGAAGACATCCAAATCGGCTGTTGTTGGGCGATTTTCCGGAGCTGGCGAAACAGAATGCCCGCGCGAAATAGAAAGGCCATACGCCAGCTCGTCGCACATCAAATTTGGGTGGCAAGCGATCAAGCCAAAGAAAATGCCACGTGGATTAGCTTTTGACTTCGTGGTTGGCCAGCTACCAGCCCCACTCCCAAGTCCCCGTATTGATGGCAGGCAATGCGACGTGTCATGTATCTGGTCAAATCACATCGGCTGATCGCGGACATCAATCACCCAGCTGACTCTTTGATTGCGTCAGCACACGCCAGACTCGCTCGGCCTTCCAGTCACCTCACTTCCCGTGGGCTCATCGGGGAGCCAATCGGCTCGCTTCGATCACACGAATCAGCCGATGAAATTCGTCTGGAAACGACTCCATCTCAAATCCAACGGCTCTGCTTGCCTCCAAATCAGGCGAAGTGTCTGGTTCCAGTGAGAAAGATCGAGATTTGAGTTGA